CACTGTCCAACGTTCCTGTTATATCCATATCTTTGTAGGCTGGCATGCTTCAAAGTCAAGTTCCGCTGATCTGGGTAACGTAGCACGTGCATTACTCAGAAAATTGTCTTGGATGTGTTTTGGCGATTGATTCTCAACCATTTTGTGACACTATTCGGGGTTTGGACCCAACGTGTCGAACGTTTAGTAACGTTTCTTTTTTTCGTCAGTTTACATCCAAAGTTATGCTACTCTTGACCATCATCCACAATCTTAGTAATTGAAAAGTACATTCCTCCAGTAGATGTGAGTACAAACATGCCAAGTTGACTGGGTTTTGCTACACATGATGTTGTAATAAATGGTCTTTTATTTATATAATTCTTTATTATACTGTTATTTTCATTGTTGTTTCAAAATCCCCTACATCTGCAGTTATTGTTTTAGTGAACAGTGAGAAGATTTTAACATTCTTTCCATAGGATGAAAAACGTGACCCAATCTCGGAAGCGTGACCACTGTTGAGGCGGGGTGATTATTATTCTGGTCATTTCCACTGCTCTCACATCATATCCTGCCATTGAATATTGTACTACCACTCTACTGTGTACTGCCATTGTAATTGCTGTGCAGTAATTTGTAAACCTAGTCAAGTGTGTAATACAATTGTTGATTTGTACGTGTTTCATTTGTTTGTTGTTTGTTGGTTTCACACTAAAATCTTTTACGTACAGATTTAGGGGTTAAATAATGGTTTCAATTTGGTAATCGACACATAACATCTCCCACACTTAGTTAAAACAACAAAGGGAAGTTACCTTTTGTGATAATAGATCAGTCCATTAGGGGACGTAGGGGAGTTGGGTGATACCATTGAACCCAATGTGAATCCAGTTCAGATTGATCTTTAACGCAGGGGCGGGGGCACGGGTGGTCCAGTCGTCTGAGACGCCGCGATTGTCTGTGCAGAGTTGCTTCCCTTGGGCGGGCCGGAAACCTATGCTTGTGGGTTCGAATCCCGGTTCGCCCCGATTATGTTTCAAGGTTTGTCAGCACCATACCCGCTCTCGTGGGTTTTATCGAACGTCTGAGACCTGCATCACTTCGGGCTTTCCTCCCACATTAAGCTGACAAGCAGATGGGAACAGATAGTGTTTTCTTCCCTGTAGAATGTTCCTGCACATGTTTACATTCCTAAGTCTGACAGGCCAGCTTGTGGCAAGCCATTTTCACATTTATTACGGAATTACTGATGCTTTCAATTGTTTTAAAGTTATCGGTATTTAAGGATATCAATAATGTTTTTAAGATATCAAAAAGTAATTAAAGATATCTTTAATTCATTTCTGATATCCAAAATACAATTACTGATATCTTAAAATGTTACGTCAAATATTTCGTGATATATGTAAATGAATTAAACAATTACCATCCTACTGTACATAATCATATCAAATTCAATTCAAGATATCTTGAAATAAGTTATATCATTCATTTTAGATAACTGTAATTCAGTTAGAGGTATTTCTAATTCATTTCAAGATATCTTTTAAACAATTGAAGATATCAGTAATTCCGTAATAAATGCTTGCTATACCAGCTTTTCACATATTAGAAAGAATGGTAATTCTGAGTTGTGGATCCACACAGACACAAAACACTACAAAAAAAAGCTACACTATTAACCATTGCATTAAGTTGTAAACAGTCAGGGTCCAGTGCTGTGCTCTGCCCTTGTAGGGTTCCAAGAACTTACAGGTGTAACAGCACCGACACATTTGGGGGATAGGCATAGGTGTGGGGCACATGAGGAACCGTCAGCAGAACTTTGGTTTTTGTGATAAGAACAGCTGACTACAAGCTCTTCAGAAGCTCCCGTCCTAGTAGACATGCCGATCTACGCCATACTCATGGGTTTCGCCAAGTGGTACCTGGTTGGGACCTGCATCCCTTCAGGCTTTCGATTCGGGGTAGAATAGGTCTTCAGCAACCCATGATTGTTATAAAAGGTGACTGTGCTTGTCGTAAGAGGCGACTAACGGGATCGGTTTAGGCTCGCTGACTTGGTTGATGTATGTCATCGTATCCCAGTTGTGCGGATCGATGATCATGATATCAATCCCTGGATTGTGTGGTCCAGACTTGATTATTTACAGACCGCCGTCATATAGCTGGAATATTGCTGAGTGCGGCGTTAAACAAGAAACAAATAAACACTAATTCTTGCCAAAACAAACTGCTTCATCTACATTGGGTGAGTTGACATCATACAAGGGTCAGATATCAGCCGGCAAGGGTCGGTGTCAGTGCAAAAGGAACAATTTGGCTAGGCAGATGAATTGTGTGAAAATGCCCACATTGCACCTGAAGGTGATTGTAATGAACCTTATCAGGTAGAATGAAACTCAGCCTGTAGAAAATATTGTAACGGCATTGTAAGTGCTTTGTGTTTTAATATGCTGTCTTTTATCTTTCCCTGATATCAAGAATAAACAAGTGTGATTTTTTATTTTTTATTGTATCCGCGTGTTATGGGTTTTCGGACGCTTAAGAAACATTCGTAGTTTTCTCTTTAATCACGTTAACAACTGTAAAACATCTCATTCACTAATAAACTTATAAAAGACAGTTTTCTCTTAACATCATCTGAGTTTTTACGATGTCTAGGTGATGCTTCATCACCCGTTATAGTGCGAGTAATAGCGACATACACGGCCGTCCGAAAACCCATGACGTCCGAAAACCGACGATATTTTATGATTTGTAGTTGTTCGTTGATTAGTTTCAAAGGTATAATATAGAAAGTAAGCCTTCTTGTGTTTCTAAAATTGCTAAACGGTCATCGCTGGTCCAAGTGAATACCATGGTATCAATAGAATAGAAAAGAACATCGTGTGGACGCTCTCCAAGGCATCTGTCTTTAATCCTACACGAAGCTCCACCATGATTCGTTTGTTTCTGTACGAAAATGAACACAGGTTTGGTTTGATTGTTGTTTTACGCCGCACTCAGCATTATTCCAGCTATATGACGGCGGTCTGTAAATAATCGAGTCTGTACCAGACAATCCAGTGATTGATATCATGAACATCGAGCCACGCAACCTACCTAAAAAATACCAGTTATGTTGTACAACAGGTCTGAAAACTCAAAAGCAAAAAGAAAATAAAGCCAAATCCTCCGTCTGCTCCGTTCCCTACGTTACTAAACTTCTAGGTTCCTATCGGCAATCAGCACTTTGACTAGGTGAGGTGAAATGGGATTTAACGTCGCCTCCAAGATTATTGCACTTATATATATAGCGACGTGCATGCACGTGTATGTGTGTGTGTGTGGCTGCTTGTACTAGTCCTGACTGATGCCGATTTATAGTGCTAGCACACTGAGATACCATGCCGCAGTTTAACATGAATACCCCACTCAGACACAATATACTGACTCCGAGCCGACCAGTCCTTGTTTTAGCCCCTTAATGCCGAGCGCCAGACAGGGTAACAACAAGTACCATCTTTTAACGTCTTTTGGTATGACGCGGCTGGGGATCGAACCCCGGACCTTCCGCTCTCCGGGCGGACGCTCTACCATTAGACCACGGAGGCGGTCGCTCTTTGACTAAAATACGGCTTCATTGGGAAGTCATCAAACCTCGACACAGCTGCTGCAACAGTGAATGTGTTGCATCAGAAATTACATGACCCAGTAAACATGATATTATTAAGATTACCCGCGTCTTCCAGTGGAGCTGACCGCCTCCGTGGCCTAGTGGTAGAGCGTCCGCCCGGAGAGCGGATGGTACGGGGTCGATCCCCAGCCGCGTCATTCTAAAAGACGTTAAAAGGTGGTATACTCGGACCCCGTGGTACCGCGGCATTCATTGTATCGCGGCATTTGTGATTTCCGGTACTTCACGCGGGACACGCCTCTTAGCAGGTGTCTGTTAGTGCAAATCGGTCGAGTCAGTAGCCAGGAAGTGCTCGATTCGTAAACAATTTCAGTTTCCTCGGAATGTTCCGTCTGCTGTAAGTAAGGAGTAATTAATGCGTTGATACTTACTTCTGGCATCTTTTTTAATATTGCCTTACCCCCATCTATCAATGGCCAACGATATAACCCGCAGTTCCCCAAGTAAACTTTATCTAGCAACCTGAACTAGATCATCTGCATATTCATGGCGACTAATAAGGTTACGGAAGTTACGTAGTTCGCACATTTTTTCCCGCTCTGTGCCCAGAATCTATTGGGAGATCATAAGGGCCATAATGCCAAACTTAGAAATACGTTCTTCACTAGTAGCCAAAAGATAAAGACATACTTTGGGCATACGAGGAGTGCTTTTTTTTAAATTTATTTATTTATTTATATAATTATTATTGACTTTTAACTTTTTTCCATTTTGTGATAAATTATTGTCATCCAATTTTTTTTTTAAAAAGAATTTTAGAATATCATTTCTGATATTTTGTTGTTGATTTTTAAAATATATGTCTTTTCGGTAAATATGCATTGAATACCTATTACTGATAACACATATACAGTTTTACTTGTCCTGTCTTTGCACTTGTCTGGACAAATCACTGATGTCTGGCAGCACCGTACCAAGTGATTGGTAGAATTATGTCCTCTTTTTGTCAAATTCAGACCTCCATACACAACTTTTCTCTGAACAGAATGAAAAGCATACAGAATAGCTTCGCGAAGACCCGGGACATGAATATACCAAGTGTTAACTTGCTGTTTGAATATATTGTTGTGAAACATTTCGCGTTGCTTGGTATCTTTTCCGCAGTGTCCAGGCCTAGTGGTCAGAGGGACGCAATTATGCCTTCACAAACACATTTGATCATTTCAACGCTATAACTATATAATTAGATATCATTCATCAATTGAAAGCACCCTCGCGACCCAACAAACACTTCAGAAATGAGGAACATATTAAATTTGGTAAAATTAGAAAAAGCGCCTGTAAAATCCCGTGTCCCCTGCAATGCGGAAGTAAGAAAGGTCAGGAAATACATCGTCTGCGCATGGCAAACGTACATCGGGGTATTTCCCAAGTAGGGCGGCTGGCTCCCGTGACTCGTCGAACATTGTCATGCTAAACATTGTCATACAATGGCATTGAAGAGAATAACCAAGGTAAGATCGAATGGAAGACAATAGTCGATCAATGTAGGGTCAAATAGAAGGCTCTGAATCACATTTAGTACCGTTTCGGAGCCGACAAACATGCGACTCCCCGCTCCCCAGCAACTCGTGTCATCGCCGGTTTTTGAGAAAAAAATCGAATATTCATTCACATTTCGCCGCTTCCTCAGTTAAGAAAACGAGACATACAGGACGTATTTTACGTAATTTCGACATGTATATTATTCACGAAATGGAGTCGAATTATGAACGATGACGTCAGCAGTAAGTAACGTTATGTCGAAGTAGTCATGGGTCACTGATCATGAAGATTAGGGTTATTTGGGTAATATTCGTTTCGTAAACGATAATCGTGAGCTGGATGTTTGTTTACCATACCCAGCGAGGAATATTCCAGTCGTAAATCTGACCTTAGTCAAAAACCCTGTCACCTACTCATCCCTTTCTACAGCATGTTCTTGGCATAGCTCGAATAGTTCGAGGTGAATGCTGTTTATGTGGTGTGGTCTAGAACTCGGGCTGAGGACTAAACGTGCCTGCCGGAAACTCTGAACACCAGGTTGCTCACTTAGGGATGATAATGGTCATGAATGACTTTGATTTTTCTGTAGACTTTGACCTTAGCATACCCCAAGTTGAAATGTCTAACAGTCATCTTGTCTGTTTTTTTCTTTCAAAAGAACATACTTTCTACATGTGTCCCTGCTGTTTTACATGAAGACCATTACTAGATCGTGGGGTTTAAAATAAGGCATACCCCCTCAAAGTTTTTGGACATCAAATTTGTTTGTATCCATATAATATATCCCAAAGTTTAAGGTGAATTTGATGTTCAGGTATTTATGATACTAACAAGATATTGCTTGACCCCAGTGAGCATGGTGAGGTCATCACATGTATTTTTGCAACTTTCATGCCAGACAACATGTTGACCTTAATACTGTTTTGTATTTTCAAAATATGAATATATGGAGGGATTTAAGTGATGCAGAAATGTGCGCCAGTATGCACTATTGTATAGAATGGATGCAGAAAATATAGATATTGCATCCCGAGGGATGCACAATAATATTCATTGTACCAAATTCTTGACAAGAAATATCAAGGAAGAAAATATATGGATGTCAGGTTCTTTATTATGAGGAACACAACGTTTCAGAGTATATGCTTACTCCTTCATCAGGTGAAATGATGTTCATTTCATCAGCCGCGTCATACCAAAAGATGTTAAAAGACGGTACTTGTTACCCTGCCTGGCATTACGGGGCTAAAACAAGGTCTGGTTGGCTCGGAGTCTGTATACTGTGTCTGAGTGGGGTATTCATGTTCATCTGTGGCATGGTGTCTCAGTGTGCTAGCACTATACATCGGCATCAGTCAGGACTAGTACAAGCAGCCACACACACAGGCACATGCACGTCGCTATATAAGTGCAATAATCTTGGATGCGATATTAAACCCAATTTCACCTCACCTCACCTCGTTTTGTAGGTCAAGGTAAAACAATGTTGATGTAGCCATCAAGCAGCCATTTCACAAATGACTTGAGTGCAACCAATACATAAGGCACTGTACAGTGTTCAGTCAACTGTGTGTTTTGCAAGATGCATTATATCATTATAACTGATGGATGTGTGCAGCGGCCATAACACTTACTGTGTGGGATGACTCCACAACCTGCTAGATAGTACTCCATCAACAGTCACATAGTAGGGTACTGAGGCTTATTTTGCTTTAATTTGAAATAAACATGCCTAGCCCCCATTGGGCACCAGTGTGGCAGCCAAAACATTTCGGAGTCCTGTGATGGGATTTGAACCCCTGATCTAGGCGAGTTTGGACGCCTTGTCCACAGAACCAAGGAGGTTAACCTCGTCAGCAGTGTGCCCAGGTAAGGATGTCCTCTATGGGATGACTCCATGCCCTGCTGCATAAAGGGAATTCTACTTTTAGGCACATGCTGGTTTAGTTCTTCCAGCCTTTCAGTAAGACTTAGCAACCCATGCTTGTCGTAAATGGTACCTGGTCGGGACCTGCATCACTTCAGGCTTTCCTCCCACATGAAACTGACATCTCCATGTTAAAAGTTACTGTTACTATTCATTGAGTTATTAAATCCAACTCGCTCACTAATTCTTGCAACCCGTGAAGATCCAGGGTAGAATAGGTCTTCAGCAACCTATGCTTGCCGTAAAAGGTGACTAACGGGATTGGGCGCTGAGTTGGTTGATGCATGTCATCGCAACCCAATTGCGTTGATCGATGTTCATGATGTCAGTCACTGGATTGTCTGGTCCAGACTCGATTATTTACAGACCACCGTCATATAGCTGGAATATTGCTGAGTGTGGCATTAAACAAACAAACAAAGTAAGATTTGATGACTCTCTTTCGACTGGTTCTAAGGACCATAACAGAAGGCCTACTCTTAGTCGCTCAGGGGGCGGTCGGGTAGCCTAGTGGTTAAAGCATTCACTCGTCACGCCGAAGACCCGGGTTCGATTCCCGACATGGGTACAATGTGTGAAGCCCATTTTTGGTGACCCCCGCCGTGATATTGCTGGAATATTGCTAAAAGCGGCGTAAAACCATACTCACTCACTCACTCACTTAGTCGCTCACCTTGTCAAGTAGGTTATACTTACAAAATACATATATTTATTAGTTTATTGAATTGCTGATAATGTTCTAATCTGGTATTCCACAGATGTGTGGTGGCCAGTTCTGCTGGCTACATGCCATAAGAACTGCAGTAGTAATGTAATTACAACCGACTTAACCTTCACAGTTAATGAACACAGCCCAATTACCTAGTTACCTGCTTACAATCACATCTACAAGACTGGTGCACTTACAAAATAGGTAACAGCTAGGTGCAGTGACCTATGACCTGTATCTTAATGAGCTCTACTTATAATGTTGGTCCTTGAGATTATCTGTTGCCATTTGAATCTAGGGACTAGGGCTGGGATGAGTCCAAATTGATTACCGGGGTACCCACCACCCTATTACCCGACCCTACCCAGGTAACCGCTGTTGATATTTAAAGAAAAGTACAAACTGTCCGATTTGGAAAAATTTGACAGTAGCCCTGGCAAAATGTGTTTAGATACACGTGTAAAACGATCTGGTCATGCATACACTGAATGCAGTTTTATCTTTATTCAAATATATAAAATTTAGAAGAAATCGGTGCATTGTCAAAAAGCAGTTGGAACATTAGCATAATTAGTGACTTGTAGTGTGACCATAGAGTTTTAGATAATTTTTGTCATTAAACAATATATCACGTGACTAACCATGGGTCCAGGTAGTCCTGTGGGTACCCGGGGCATACTCGAAACCCACCCGTCCCGAGTTACCCGTCCCGAGTTAACCGTCCCAACACTACTAGAGACCCCCATATTCTAACCTATGATGTTAGGACAAGGACCCGATAACAGAGAGACCTTATCTGCTTTTGCTTGTATACTTGTTTATGACAAGTGTGTAGATTGGAAGGATGTCAGTTGTACTGGTACACTACTAGTACTACCAATTCAAGAAATAGTTACAAATGTTATATTTTATAACACTTTCTGAGCAAAGAACAGATTCTATTACTTTTTGGGGTTGAGTCAGAAATAGAATATAATAGTTGACAATCCTCCTTCTACATCTTTCGAAAAATCACTTTTCAAACGAAAAGATGACATCATTTCAAGGTTATTTTCAACATGAAATGCAGCGACCTCGAACAAAAGGGTGTGGATGCAAAGTTTTCATTTGCTGTGTTGACAAACTGAGATAATTGTCATGTCTTCCTGCATACTCGGTCTCGCTAGCTGATTGTCATTGTGAGATCTTCAGTGTCATTGTAACCTCCATATTTGATCAAATTCAGGATAGACATCAGGGCTCCAGATAACATTTGTCGTCAATGAGTGTTTACTCACATGTTCTCATTCACATTGGGTATTGGTAGTTTTTTGGGGGTATTCAATATAGTTTTGGTCCCTTGGTTCGAGTCTATTAGGTATTTTAACACTAATGAGTAGACATTTTTTTAGTAATTCTGCTTGAGATGCTGTTTCAGGTGACTCATGATTTGTCAGGGTTTTACTGGATGCACAAATGTAGAAAATGGACACATAAAACAATTTAGTGCATCCCAAACGGGGCACAACATTATTCATGGTACCTTCAGCGCATCAGGAGCAGTTATGGGTGTCTGTTTTTTCGGCCTTCAGTCATGACCTCTGTCCACATAATCATTGATTCATTCCAGGCTCTAAGGTAATTATCAAAATGTATAAATGTAGAGAACGAATGCAGATAAAAATAAATCTTGTGTCTCTTGGGACGCCCAATTATATTCATTGTACCTTTAGCGCATCATGAGCAGTAATGGGTGTCTGTCATTTCATCCATCAAACATGACCACTGTCCACGTGATCATTGACTGATTCCAGACTCTAAAGTAATTATCAACACGTACACTACGTCAGTTCATTACTTTACAGGACCCTCATATTGCCTGCAAGGACCCTTAAAATTAATTATTGGGGTCCCCTGAACCCCACTTTCGAAAGTCAAGGTAAAACCCTGGTTCCTGTATATGCAGTACCTGCATCCCATCAGTAAAAAAATGTAGGTAAGCAAATTTTCATGTGTTTTTTTTTCAGTTTTCTTGCGATGTACATTTCTCACTAGTTTCACGTAACACCACAAGACACATTTTTTTATACAATGTGCTTTCTAAGTGTGCTACATGCCAGGATCTTATAATAGTGCCATTATGATAATAACCGTGCCATTGTCACTTTAATACAAAACATTTCGGACCTTTATATAGAAGTGTGACTCATTCAAATTTACATACACACCTTTAACCTTTTGATATTACAGGGCAGTGATTGCTGCCAGAGCTGACTAAACTAGGGATGTGTGACCAGAGCCCTGTCCCACAAAACCTATTACATGTAACATGTGTAACGGCTGTGACCATGGTGACTGTCTCGGGTTCATGGTAGCGTATGGAGTTGCATTTCCCTAAGGCCGTTTTGTGGCAGAGGGCCTGGCTCGTATTGTTTCATCGTATCTGTGCAGTGGCTGCTGTCGACCACTGGTTTGTCTTGCGCATACATGATTTACAGGTCGACATGATATAGGTATGATAATGCCATTATTGCTTCCTTTGGCGTAAAACAACATTCACTCACTCACACTTACCAACTCTCTATTTGACAATCAGTTTGGTCACCAGTCCCATGGTTTAAGTTAACGTGAAATCATTTAGCCGATACCTTATGTAAAAACCTACAATTATTTCAACTACCAAACCCTTTCTACATGTTCCTAATTTAGATTTTGTTCTACAACATGTACAAATCACTAGGGGTGAAACGATACAGCAAGGTCATGATACGATACGTATCACAATACATGCTCATGTTGTCAATCACTGTTGTCAGTCTGGTCCAGACTCGATTATTTACAGACCGCCATCATATAGCTGGAATATTGCAGAGTGCGGCATTAACAACAAACAAAACAAACATCTAGCACCTAGCACACAGCATGGGTTGTGTAATCCAAAGGGAGCTGAGAAAGGACTTGGAACATGTTAAATGAACACTGACCAAAGCCCCGTTCGACACATCGATCTTTCTGCTAAGGTGGTCGTATCTTTAGCATAGGCTTGTGATAGCTGTAGCGTTGATATCGTTTTGTGGAACAGGACCCATGGTAATAACACAGTGTCATGAGGACCCTTTAGGGTATGGCTACTGCACATGCAGTATTATCAACTGTATTGTTATGGTTATTGTTTGGATGTTTATTGTTGTTGTTGTAATTGTTGTTGTTGTTATTGTTATTGTTGCTGGCTGTACAGTGTCTGTGTTGGTTGTTCCAGGAGCTCCAGGACCTGAACAAAGACCCTCCCGCCAGCTGCTCTGCAGGCCCGGTTGGAGATGACTGTGAGAATACAATCTCTTATCTAGCCTTCACTTACCTTTTGTACTATCATCAGTCAACACAGCACTCCCACTGTATTCCATAGCCAAAATACCAAAATACTTCCGTCAATTTTGGCAAATTCTGCAAGCAAATTTTGATATTTCTGCATACTCTTTAGCTTAGTTATTATGAATTTTGTAGTTTTGCACCTGTTTGACTTGTGGCAAGCATTTTTATGATAAACATATCCATGCCCAGAATAGGAGAGGGGGAAGGCCTAATCCATTTGATTTTTCACAATAAAATATATGTAAATTAAAATGAATGACCGAGAAGCTTATTGAAGTGAATCTGGAGTGGAGATCACTAGTGTAAACAGACATGCAATTTCTGTATGCATTAATACAAAAGTTGATTCAGCAGTCACCCAAGGACCTCCATGTAAATGCCGGGGACCCCCTATATGTAGGACCAAGGGTCCCCAGTCACATTAGGTCAGAGAAGTTCTATTGTATTACTAGATGATTATGTACGTCTGTCCATATTTCAACACTGAGATGTCCCCTTAACATGGCCAATGACAGCCTCAAACAAATTTCTAAAAAAAAGACCTGTGAAGATCCAGGGTAGAATAGATCTTCAGCAACCCATGCTTACCGTAAAAGGCGGCTAAGCTTGTCGTAAGAGGCGACTAACAGGCTTGCTGACTTGGTTGATGCATGTCATTTGCCAATTGTGTGGATCGATGCTTATGATGTCAATCACTGGATTGTCTGGTCTAGACTCGATTATTTACAGACCACCGTCATATAGCTGGAATATTGCTGAGTGCAGTGTTAAACAAAAAACAAACAAATCATGAGGCCATCTGTGGGTTTTTTATGTTTCTCACCACCCTGCCGTCCTGAATCACATCCCTGAATTGCCATCCAGTAAAAAAATAAATAAGAAAAAGTTTTTCACAAACGAGATTCTTAAGCCAGCACCCTTTCTCTCCATATGTTAGTCTTGCTGTGCCAGTAAGTCAGTGAGCGTGAAATTATACACTCCTAGCCTTGTGTAGGAATCAGCATCAGTTTACACTGAGAAAGGTCCAAAGTGGGGAGGGTTAGTGTAGCAGTTAATCACTTAATGCGTCCTTGGAAACACATGCTGCACAAAATGTGATGTCTGTTCTTGGAATCTGCAACAAACTTATGGCCACGGTGAGTTAAAACACAAATATGCCCATAGTACCTCGTGCAAGATGTAAATCGTACGATGGAGACTGTGTGGTCACGGTTTAGAATGAATAGTACTTTGCCGTAGAAAATAGCTTATTTTTACCTTATCCTGACTCATACTAAGTGCTCATCTGAACCCATTTCCGAAAGGTAGTGGAAACATCCTGAACTGTGTTCCCGGAAGAACAGAAAAAACAGCTCAACAAAATGCACATCTGGTCAGTGCACCAGAAACACATAACCCAAGCCTGTATACTCGTCACTCTCTCATTTTCGCGCCAACTGGGTAGTTGGGGAAAATTTTCTGATCTTGTAATCCGAACCATCCTGTCAAAATTAACCTTTTGTTGTGATTTTTTTTTCTCTGATTACTTTCTTTTACCCTTAATTCATCATATGTAACAAATATTTTTTGCCTTAGGCTTAAAATTGTTCATATTTTTGGACTATCTTTATGACTCTGTTTTCACTGTGAAATCATACACTATATGTAGTGCGCATGTTTTAGATCAAGACCCTCTCCCATCTGTTCAAGCTGCACTCTTCAACACTGCACTGCGGAGAAGAGATGTAGTTTATGCGCTCCACGAGAGAAGAACATTTTGCACAGGATCTCTTCATGGTGCACAGGAGGAAGATGGACCCTAAGAAGAGGGAATCATCCTCATCAGAGATGACTTCTATGAACAAGAAGTTAGACACAACACCTACACCTTCAGAGGAAGAGGGGGGTGGTGGGGTAGCCTAGTGGTTAAAGCGTTCACTTGTCACACCGAAGGCCCAGGTTTGATTCCCCTCATGAGTACAATGTGTGAAGCCCCTTTCTGATGTCCCCTGCCATATTGCTGGAATATTGTGGCGTAAAACCATACTCAATCGATCAGAGGAAGAGAGGGAGTCTGACTCCAGAGAGGAAGTTCTTATAGATCTTCCTTCCTCGCAGAGCAATCCAGTCATCCCTACAAGTTCTGGGGCGGTCGGATAGCCTAGTGGTTAAAGCGTTCGCTCGTCACGCCGAAGACCCAGGTTTCGATTCCCGACATGGGTACAATATGTGAAGACCATTTCTTGTTTTCCCCCGCTGTGATATTGCTGGAATATTGCTAAAAGCGGTGTTAACCCATACTCACTCACTCACCCTACAAGTTCTTCCCTAGGCAGAATTGTCGGCGCCGTTCTCAAGGGTTCAGTCAAGTTGAAGGAAAAATCCCCTGCTGTTTCTTCTGATCCAAAGAAGAACTTGCAATCCCCTGGTCATCAAAGTCCTCATCAAAGTCTCAGCTAAGAGGGAACACAGCTACATGAAGGTGACCACCAACACCGATCATTGCGTCATCCGTGAAGGGGTTCATCAGCCTCAGACCTTCATGCAACAGCAACAGCTTCAGACGTTCTCGCAGTCTACAGCGTATATGCAGCCTAACATTTTTTTCAACAGAGTGCGATACCATTAATAGCCAGTGTTATCCAGCAAATTTACATGCTATGCAGCAATAAACCTTCACGGGGGTTCCAACCTTCACGCAGCCATAGACCTGCACGCAGGCTCCAACCTTCACGCAGCCATAGATGAAGACAATTGTCAGACCTGACTGTTCATCCACGACTCCGAACCCTAACAACTTGTATCTTTTCAAGATAAGGATGTGTTTAAGCTTGTCTTTGAAGGAATTCATCCCATTGGGAGGAATATCCCTCAACCCATGACGAACAAGAACTCAGGGGCCAATCTGGTTTCAGCACAGACTTCTTCTCTCAATAGGAGCACTTTTTCACCGTCAGAACCTGGCTTAAACCTTCAAGCAGGGGTAGTAGTCGAGACTTGATTATTTACAGAGCGTCATCATATAATTGGGATATTGCTCAGTGCTGGGTTAAACAACAAACAAACAAGTCATGGCACAGTTTTGTGATGACACTGTCACACTTCCGCGTGGCCTCGATCATCATACTTCAATCATTCAGACCAAAGAATTATATATTCATCCTCAGTCTACCAAATGCATAGGCTAATCTCGGTCTGAGATGGATTATATCACCAAGAATCAGCTACCTGGTCAACCAGACCGACAATTTCACACCCCCGCCACTCTCATCCATCCTGGGATCAGAAGACGCTGTAGGTTTATCTCTATGTCCTGTTAGAGCACTACGCATCTACTGCCGAGGACAATTTCCAGAAGGCAAAGATTATATAGACTGGTTATTCCATTATCTAGGAATAATTCAACAGAAGTTTCCAGAACAACCATCTCCTTTCGGACGAGAGCAGTCATTCTCAGAGCCTACAAGGCAGTGTGCCACAATCAGCATCCCACCGAGAGCCATAGCGTCTACAGCCAAACGCCTCATGGAAATAGCTCCACCCAGACGATCATGGAAGGTTGTGTTTGGAGATCAGACACCGTCTTCGCAAATTATTATTTCAGAGATTTCTCCACACAAGATGTTGCTGGAATTCACCAATTTGGACCATTAGTAGTTGCACTACTGACAGTGCCTACTAGAGGATAGACCTTGCTACAGAATAGTCTCCCATCATCACACAGACGTAATGTCAGGTTACTGTCCAATGACCAACAACTGAAAGTCCATGCTCCCCCGTTTCTACTACATAATTCAGAGTATGAGTGAAAACGATTGTGTTGCGTTTGCGACCTTTTCCTGACACTATAACCGTATAGTATGAGTCAGGAGAAGGTAAAATATTTATGTTTTAAAGTCAAATTAAAATTTATACTTTTAGGCCCCACCCTGCTGTCCACACTTCCCGTTTCGTTGGTTAGGTAAGGGAAAAGAGAGAATGACAACTATACCGGCTTGGCTGTGTGTTTCCGGTGCGAATGCTAGACCGGGGGTGCGTTTGGGTGAACATTCTTTTCTGTTCTCCGGGAAGACAGTTCAAGAAGTTTCCCCTGAAATGAGTTGAGATAAGCAATAGGTATGAGTCAGGATAAGTATAAATTTTATTTTTAGTCTGAAAAATACATTTTCTAAGTCCAATCAATTCGTGTCAACCTTATTTTACTTGTTCTCACAGATTGCAGCTAGTTCTGCTTGAATGAGACAAAATGTTTACTGTGTTGACATTTTCTGTCAGTTTTATTCATTTCCAATTTTTAGCCAAATTGTAGCCAAACTGAAGCATTGAGAACTGGTTCGTAAATTATAGCCCTTGAATGCTACTCGTAAATGAGGACTATCATCCTTGAATGTTTACTTGTCCTCTGCATAATTAAGTAGTCTCGGGTTAGCAGGCTAACATGATATTTCAGTATGGTGCTGAGTTGACTGATTGGTGTTTCCAGATAGTGTTGCTCAGACATTGGGTTGTCAGTGATAAGGAAGGACTGTTAATGATATTACACACAGAGGACACATTATGATCATGTGGTTTTGAAGCTCGGTAATGTTTGACTTTAATGTTAACATGATTACAGATTCAGTGATGAATCCCTACTCAACAATGTCACAGGGACTCTGTTGACAAGTGATCTTTGCACTAAATAGAGAATCTCACCCTCATGTCTTTCCACTTTTATCAACGAGTGTTGATATATTTGATATCAAAAGACACGACGGTGAGATTTTATTTATCATCCAACATCATTCTTCCAACTTTTACAGTTTGTAGACAGTAATAGGCAGTGTCTTAAGTGTAAAAAGTACTGCTAACAGCTTCAGTAGCAGAGCCATTAGTGATGTCATTTGATTGTGACGTCATGGTAACCGATGATGTCACATTGGTCTGCAAACCATTTCATTGGAGCGATATGTACAATGTAGATATCGCTTGATCTCACCCAATCCATATCTTCTAGGGGAGCCAGTTTTGGATGATAAGAAACTTGTAACTACAATACTTTAACATAACCACGACAACCGTCGTATGACTACTATCGTAAGTTTACAATAGTCATGGTGCTAAAATTGCTTTGTGGAACAGTACCCGTTCCGGCCTTAGTGCTATGGTCAAGATGGTAGTTGATCTTAGTGCTATGACTGTTGTTAGTCTATGTTAAAGTATGGTCTTTAGTACTAGTTACAATCATCATGGCGCTAAGATAAATCATGGAACAGGCCCTGCTGCCATTGTAGAGAGCAGTGTTAGTTCTAAGGTGATCGTAACTGCCATACCTTAACATAGTTTTTCGACAGTCGTAGCGCTAAGGTTGTTTTGTGCAACGGTACCCAGGGGCCTGTTCCACAAAGCGATCTTAGTGTTACGACTGTCGTAAGTCTGTGTTAAAGTATGGGAGTTACGATTATCTTAGCTCTAAGATCGCTTTGTGGAACAGGGTCCTGGTCTGTAATATATCAGAGGATCCTTGTCACAGCACCTTGTTTGATCTGCTCCGAATTTGTTTCAGTGTTCCACTGGCAAGCAACGATAATGGGTCCAGTAAGTATGATGTTCTTTGTTGTGTAGTTCCAGTGTGTTCGGGGGCGGTCGGGTAGCCTAGTGGTTAAAGCGTTCGCTCGTCACGCCGAAGACCCGGGTTTGATTTCAAACATGGGTACAATGTGTGAAGCCCATTTCTGGTGTCCCCCGCCATGATATTGCTGGAATATTGCTAAAAGCGGCGTAAAACCATACTCACTCACTCACTCACTCACTCACTCACTCACTCACTCACTCACTCACTCACTCACTCACTCACTCACTCACTCACTCACTCACTCACTCACTCACTCACTCACTCACTCACTCACTCCAGTGTGTTCCGATTACACATAAAAGAAAGATTGGATTGAGAGCTAAAGATAAACCTTATGTTTTTTCCCAGTTTTCTGTTAAATTAAGGCTGAGATTATTTGTAAATAATTGTAATATTCATGACCCCAGTGGAGATTCCAGTTTAGAACAGATTTCCAGATAACATTTTGAGCAATTGAGGTTTTACTCTAGGGTTTGAATTTTAATTGGGTTATTACATTTTTGAGGGGTAACTAATATTTTTTCACTCATATATTCATCACTCTTTTGGATTGTTTCCCCAAAGAGTGAACATTTTAAGATATAAAAGAAATGAAATAATGTTTTAGATGTATATAACCATGATAACTGTTCTTGATATATAGGCTTGACTCGGAAAGTAAATTAGCTCGTAATTGTGCTTCGGAAATTAGCTCCTTTGTACGCATGCTGTAAAAGCTTTCTTGGGTATATACGCTTGCTGTTTTTATACATTTGAGTTTTTCTTCAATGCATGCATATCTGTACGCTAGTTCATTGAAAGTAATTGGGTTTCGAATATTTTGGGGGGGGTATTTTACGCAAATACGCTACTTATCTGTAGCTCTGTTCAATTGTTCCCATCAACCTATGCTGGTTGTAGAAGGCAACCAAATGGTTTGGGTGGTCAGGCCCGGTTACTTGGCTGATACCCATAGCGTGTCCTCGTACCCCAAGGCATGGGTTGTTGCTCACAATATCAATCACAGGATTGTCTAACCCAGACTTAATATTTGCAGGCCACTGATATGGAGCTGGAATATTGATGAGTAGTGAGTACGGTGTTTAACAAACAAACAAACAATTAATTAATGTTCATGATTGTGTTTTGCTCTTTCAGAATGAGTCCCCATTTCAAGGAGGCGTGTTCTACCTGTCAATCCATTTTCCCGCCGATTATCCTTTCAAGCCTCCTAAGGTAGGACAGTGTCATGGGGACATTCAGCATTCCAACTGTTCTGCAGTTCGCTAGGAATATCTGTAGCTGGGGTCATTTTGTCTTCCACAATATGCATGTACTTGTATGTGAGAAACAAATATTACAGTATGGTATGTATTGAGGAGGGGTAGTCTAGTAGCTAAAGGTAAGGGCTGACAAAGCTGAAAACATGACTGATAACCCACAGGGGTACAGTGTGTCGGGCCTTGGTGTCCTGCCCCTGGACTATCCTTGTGTTGAGGAGGGGTAGTCTAGTAGCTAAAGGTAATGGCTGACAAAGCTGAAAACATGACTGATAACCCACAGGGGTACAGTCGTGTCGGGCCTTGGTATCCTGTCCCTGGACTATCCTTATGTTGAGGAGGGGTAGTCTAGTAGCTAAAGGTAATGGCTGACAAAGCTGAAAACATGACTGATAACCCACAGGGGTACAGTCGTGTCGGGCCTTGGTATCCTGTCCCTGGACTATCCTTATGTTGAGGAGGGGTAGTCTAGTAGCTAAAGGTAATGGCTGACAAAGCTGAAAACATGACTGATAACCCACAGGGGTACAGTGTGTCGGGCTTGGTGTCCTGCCCCCGGACTATCCTTGTGTTGATGAGTGTAGTCCAGTACTAGTAGCTAAAGGTAATGGCTGACAAAGCTGAAAACATGACTGATAACCCACAGGGGTACAGTCGTGTCGGGCCTTGGTGTCCTGCCCCCGGACTATCCTTGTGTTGAGGAGGGGTAGTCTAGTAGCTAAAGGTAATGGCTGATAAAGCTGAAAACATGACTGATAGCCCACAGGGGTACAGTGTGTCGGGCTTGGTGTCCTGCCCACAGACTATCCTTGTGTTGAGGAGGGGTATTCTAGTACTAGTAGCTAAAGGTAATGGCTGATAAAGCTGAAAACATGACTGATAGCCCACAGGGGTACAGTGTGTGTTGCCCATTCTTGATGTCCATGATATTTCAGGACTACTGTTGGAAGCAGTGTCGATTATTCCTGCATAACTCCATATGCGTTATGTGATACAGATACTCCATTGTGAGAACATTGCATCGTTTATCTTAAGGTATACAAATATGTTCCAGCTTGCGTTCACCACACGAATCTATCATCCGAACATCAACAGCAATGGCAGTATCTGTTTGGATATACTCAGGTCACAGTGGTCGCCAGCTCTCACTATCTCAAAAGGTAATACTCTAGTACATTTATTGTTAATACATGTGACAATCAGATACAACCAGCCAACAATCTTAGTTCAACATTTAGACAGCCTCCGTGGTCTAGTGGTAGAGCGTCCGCCCGGAGAGCGGAAGGTCCGGGGTTCGATCCCCGGCCGCGTCAAACCAAAAGACGTTAAAAGATTGTACTTGTTGTTACGCTGTCTGGCGCTCGGCATTAAGGGGCTTAAAGAAGGACTGGTCGGCTCGGAGTCAGTATACTGTGTCTGAGTGGGGTATTCATGTTAAACTGCGGCATGGTATCTCAGTGGGCTAGCACTATAAATCGGCATCAGTCCAGACTAGTACAAGCAGCCACACAAACACACACACGTACATGCACGTCGCTATATAAGTGCAATAATCTTGGACGCGACGTTAAACCCCATTTCACCTCACCTTGTTCAACATTTACACAATCACCCAGAAACAGCTGTGCCACTCCTATACCCCGTCTGGTTATGATTGGTCCCCAGCAACATACGCTGGTTGTCACACTCCACCAAATGGATCAGGCAGCCAGGCTCAGTTATTACCATCTTCTTGAGGCAAGGGAGTTAACTGACTTTAAATGTCCAGTTTCCACCCTTGCCGAACTAGGCTGGATTTCCTGGGCCTCTATCGTAATGTAAATGTTATGTGGTACCCATGCCATATGATCTCTACCTGTCTCCTGTAGTCACAAGATTGAGGATTTTGTTGCATTAATGGCTTTCAAGGAACAGCTTTGTTTGATGGTTGTTTAATGCTGCACTCAGCAAAATTCTAGCTGTAAGACAGCAGTCTAAATAATTGAGTCTGGACCAGACAATCCAGTGATTGATATCATGAGCATTGATCCATACAATTGGGAGACAATGACATGTATCGACCAAGTCAGCGAGTCTGACCACCCGATCCCATTAGTCGCATCTTTCAACAAGCGCAGTCGCCTTTTACGGCAAGCATGGTTCCTGAAGACATATTCTACCCTGGATTTTCACAGGTCTTCAAGCAAAAGTAGTCGGGGAACTATCAGGGGACATAGGACTTCTGTTTGGGACAGACATGGCTGGTGGCATGTCATAGATGGCTTAAACACCTGCTTGGTCAGGTGAAGGACAATGGCGTAAATGGTTAAAGCTTTCACTTGTCACAATGAAGCCCCAGGTATAATTCCCTTTAGAGGTATTTTATGTCAAGGCTATTTCTGGTGTGCCACCAAGATACTGCTGGAATATTGCTAAAAATGGTGTAAAACCATACTCACTCAGGTGACGACACAATAACGGTGAAAGCATCATGAATGGTAAACTGACCCATTCAGCATGTTCAGCTGTGTTTGAATCTATGAGATTTACTGCTACAGGCCTCGAAGTTTAATTTTTTACCAAGTAGCCTTATGGCCACAAGTATTTTTTTCAAAGTAGCCAGTGGTAAAATCAATAAGTCTAGCCAATATTGTAGGTAGCCAAAAGAATTTGAAATTATCTTTTATCAAATAACTATCATATGTACAAGTCATAGCACTAGTCTTGGCATTGTATATTAGTGGAAACTACTCAATTTTTTTTATTTTAACTCGAATAATGATTCAATTTACGTTTCTAGATTATATAGGTATATCCTTGCTAATCCAATTGAAGCAATTGAATTTAGTTGCTACAAGATATTTTTCAAGGTAGTCATTTGGCTACCTCTGGATTTTAGACAGTAGACAAATTGAAATTTAGGTCGCATTGGCAACCGTTTTAGTCACAACCTTAAGGCCTGTGCTATAGTACTGTTAATAGAATCCAGGCACCCTCCTACCTCTTAACATGGGAGTTATGACGAGGATGCCTGGACTATCGTGCCTAATTTCCACCACTGCATTCATTAATCACTCCCTTCCTTTTTCAGTTCTTCTATCCATCACTTCCTTGTTGACTGACGCCAACCCTGACGACCCTCTTGTCCCTGAGATTGCCAGAGTTTACAAAACGGATCGTCAAAAGTATGAGGAAACAGCCCGAGACTGGACCAAAAAATATGCATCTTAAAACATTTTTTAAGTTTGTAAGTGACATGCAGGACTGCTCTTATTGACAATTTCGCAGACTTGAAAAGGACGTGAATTTGCAGTTTCACCCGGATATCTTGTTTATTGCTGTGAAGACTTGGGATATCAGCGGCCCCTTAAATTCCTTCTGAGGGTGACATACATGTAGATTTACAGCCCTGGATCTCAAGCCACTAGCACAATTGTCTAAGCTTGCACCTACGTCCATCCTGTAATACCCTTTATAATACTTGTAGAATAATGACATCACAGTGAACGTAGCAATGTGGTTACTTGGCACCTTGCCCAGCCAGGCTTTAAATACATACAATACTTGGTTCTCAGGTGCCTCAGCAATAATAAACCATGTGAAAATATATTCGCATTTTGACAAACATGAAAATTCTGAGTTTGGATGGTCAATGTTATGCTAAGACCGAAAGTTAGGTCGGCCACCACACCAATGATCCAAAACACATTCCTGAGAACCAATTATGTTAATTTTTGCCTCATCAATCACTGTTTAAAGTAGGTTTTGTTGTTGCTGTGAAAATTGAACAGGGTTTAAAGTGTTTAACTATTGTCAAGTGCTATCTTTATCATGATCGTGATTATTATTTGAGAATTATTATTATCACTATCATTATTTGTAATCTAAGTAAACTGTACTTTTGAAAAGTTGATGTGTCCAAACTTGTTCATTTTATTCTTTGACCTTAATTGTCAGTATCGTTCTTTGGGTGGTAATTGTATTGGTGCTAACAAGCTTTTAGACAGGTAAAGATTTAGGCTAATTTAAGTAGTGAAGAACAAATTTGCATATGCCGGAAATCATGTGGCAGTTGTCACCTATCATTGTACTATAAGTAATGCCAACACAGGTATCTATGTTGTATGGGTAAGTTGTCTTCAAATAGCATCTTTAGATAGGTGTATTCATTTTATCTTCATCCTCGGATTCTCAGAGTATTTTCATCACAACAAGGTACCTGATAATACCCTCAGGCAGGCAGGTGTGTTCACTGTATTCACTGTTTTGACTAGTGTGTTTATATGAATACCTGGGGAAGCAATGGCGTGGCATGGTAGTCCTTCCACATATTTAATTGATATAGGCTCGTCACAGGTTACGTTGCTTGCTGTCATGTTTCAAAGGGATTTCAGGAAGCACTGTTGGCCAGTGGTCTGAGGCACATCGCAATGTTCTGTGCAGAGTTGCATCCCTTAGTCCTGCCAGGAATCAAGTTCCAAGACTCAACCTGATTGTGATTCTAGGTTTGTCAGCACAATGCTTGTGGGTTTCCCCCACGAAGCGGACATGCTGTGGTGTGACTGAAAGCAGCATCAAATTTACTTAATCTTCTGTGTGATCTGGCACCTGTTCCACAAAGCTACCTGAGCCTGGTTATGTGGTTATTGTAAGACTGTGTTAAGGTATAGGAAGTGCAGTAGTCATGTCACTAAGATTGCTTTGAGGAGTGAGGGCATTGTAGCTTGTGTGTGGCAATAAGGTGGTCGTGAAGGAAGGCGTTGGGGTCAAGAATTTGAGACTCCATGAAACTTAGGATGTGGAACAAGACAAGATGGCTAGAGTATTAAGATATGGGGTCAAGAATTAGATACTCCATAAATGCGAGGATGTTGGAACCAAAGCCATCTCTAGAAATTTTCAGTTTGCCCATGCCAGACAAATTCAGTGTGATTGTATCATAGAGGCTATGAGACAAGAATAGAGGCAGTGTTCCAAATAAGGGGGTTCTGAGGTCCTCTGTTTTGAGCCCAGGGACCCTCCAAATCTTCAGTTTTTGACGTCAGGGACATGATAAGGATCCCTTGACTTTCATGCTGACATTGGGGGCACGAGTGGCCCAGCCGTCTAAGGCGCCGCGATTCGCTGTACAGAGTTGTATCCCTTGGGCACGCCAGAAACCTATGATCGCCCCGATTACGTTTCTAGGTCAGCACCATACCCGTGCTCGTGGGTTTCACCAACATGGTAAATGTCTGAGACCTGCATCACTTCGGGCTTTCCTCCCACATTAAGCTGACACGCTGCGATATAACTTGAATGCTGTTAAAAGTGCCGTTAAACCAAACTCACTCACTCATGCTGACATTATCAACTGTTTAATGGCCAAAGCATTGTGTTACCATGTCTATAAAGCTGTAATATTGCTGACAGTGGTCAAAACCCAATAAGGGGCGGTAGGGTAGCAAAGTGGTTAAAGCGTTGGCTCGTCACGCCAAAGACCAGGGTTCGATTCAACACATGGGTACAATTTGTGAAGCCCATTTTTTGGTGTCCCCCGCCGTGATATTGCTTAAATATTGCTAAAAGCGTCATAAAGCCATACTCACTCAAAACCCAATTAATTCTTGACTCTGTTCAAGCTACTCAAGGATTTTGAAATGGATAGTGAACCTACAATACTAGATAAAACTATTGAGAATAATATATATTGGCATTTCAGAATCTAGAACAAACCGTCGGTATTGGTTCAGAATTGGTTTGACCAGGGTAGATTAATTTTGTCTGTTGTTTCAATGGATATTTCACAGTTTGAATAAATAGTGCTCCTTGGAGGTCAAATGTAAGTCTTATTTATCTTTACTATTGGTCCTAGAAGATCGTGTCCTTATTAATGCATTTAGACAGGTGACACTTAGTCTGAGGCAGTAGTAGCGCTGAGGTCATTGGGTTTTTTAGTACGATAATCACTGTTTACATTGTCAACAATACTTATTTTGTGATGTTATTGTCAACAGTTGTCCTATTCTGAAGTTGTATAAGTAATCATGATTGCGGTGGTTTTCTGTGCGATCATTGAGTAGATCTTCAATCGAATGAGCCGAAATTTTAACTAAATTGCTTTGATATTGTTTAATATTTCCATAACATAATAAGGTTTAGTAATTGTATGTCTCCTGAAGTAATTGTCCAATTGTTTCCCTGTGTAACTTTGCACTTCACTAAACCGGGACTCTGCTTTTCAACTGAACTATACTACTCAACATTTGCTAAGGATGACATCTTAGCAAATGTTGTGTAGTGTAGAAGTGTTAATATGATCATCAAAATGCTTCTTTTGTCACATTATGGTCAAGTTGGTTTCAAATTATCAAAGGTTGTGAGGGAAGCACTTATTGAGTTAGCGATGGAAACATGCATGTGCCGATCAGTGTTACGTGTGGGTATACACTCAGTACAAAGGAAACCTTTGATCCTTTGGTGGCATCTTTATGTGAACCAGTTCACTAAAATGGTACCATGCTGTTTTTTTGTGTTGCGGTACTCTTAATGTAAGGTCATAGGCACTTGCCAGAGAACCAGATTCAACATTGACCTTTCCTGCTTGAGTGTTCACCAGCTTGGAAAGAATTTTTGACAGCTGGTCAAGGGAGGCAACTCTTGTTGGTTTATTATTGGAAGCCAACTTGCAATGTTTAACAAAATGGTGTATAAGCATGCTTGTCAAAGTATTATGAATAAGAGCAGGCTTATTCAGTGGCTGTGCAGAGGAGATGTCTAGACCTCGTACTAGATGATTTTGTTGAATACATTGTCTCAAATGAAAAGTCTTCTTGTTCTGTTGTGTTGATACCTAGACAGTTTACTAGCCACAAATTGTGTTCTTTCTAATGTTTGTGAAGATCCGGGGTAGAATAGGTCTTCAGCAACCCATGCTTGCAGTAAATGGCGACTATGCATGTTTGTTTGTTGTTAAATGCCGCACTTAGCAATATTCCAGCTGTATGACGGCAGTCTGTATATAATCGAATCTGGACCAGACAAACCAGTGATTGATATCATGGGCATCAATCCACGCAATTGAGATACTATGAAATGCATCAACCAAGTCCGCAAGCCTGACCACCCAATCCCGTTAGTCGACTTTTACAGGAAGCATGGGTTGCTGGAGACCTATTCTATCCACAGGAACTCGATATTGCTCTTTTGTAAAAATATACGCCCCCTATACTACATAAAAGTCTTTTATGTAGTATAGGGGGCGTATATTTTTACAAAGAGCAATATCGAGTTCCTGTGATTCTACCCCAGATCTTCACAGGTGTTTAATGCTGATCCACTGAAATGTTCAGTCTCTCACCTATAACAGGTGCCCCCAATCTGAAGGTTATCGTGCGAGTATCAGAAAAGGTAACTTTGGTGGTCACAATGACTGCAGGTTATGGATACTACATGGCTTAGTGACCCACTAGAACACTTGGATACAAGAACAGGGTCTTCTGTCTTTCTTTTATTCAGAAATCAGGAAGTGATTTCTCTGACTTTGTTTTGTTTGTTTGTTTGTTGTTTAACGCTGCACTCGGCAATATTCCAGCTATATGATGGCGGTCTGTAAATAATCGAGAGTCTTGACCAGACAATCTGGTGACTGACATCATGAACATAGATCTACGCAATTGGGAGACGATGACATGCATCAACCAAGTCAGCGAGCCTGACTACCCGATTGTGTTGGTGGCCTCTTAAAACAAGCATAGCTGCCTTTTAAGGCAAGCATGGGTTGCTGGAGACCTATTCTTACCCAGGTCTGCACCACAGTGTCACACAGATGAAAACCAAGGCTCACAGTCTCACACAGATGAACATCGAGGCTCACAGCGTCACACAGATGAACACCAAGGCTCACAGCATCACACATATGAACACCGAGGCTCACAGCATCACACATATGAACACCGAGGCTCACAGAATCACACAGATGAACACCAAGGCTCACAGATGAACACCGAGGCTCACACCGTCACACAGATGAACACCGAGGCTCACAGCATCACACATATGAACCCCGAGGCTCACAGAATCACACAGATTAACACCGAGGCTCACAGCATCACACAGATGAACATCGAGGCTCACAGAATTACACATGAACCGAGGCTCACAGCATCACACATATGAACACCGAGGCTCACAGAATCACACAGATGAACACCGAGGCTCACAGATGAACACCGAGGCTCACACCTTCACACAGATGAACACCGAGGCTCACAGAATCACACATATGAACACCGAGGCTCACAGAATCACACAGATTAACACCGAGGCTCACAGCATCACACAGATGAACACCGAGGCTCACAGAATCACACAGATGAACACCGAGGCTCACAGCATCACACAGATGAACCGAGGCTCAGTGTCACATAGATGAACACCAAGGATCACACAATGTCGTGTGTTGTAATGTTGCAGGTGTAATACTGCTTCCAGCAGAATCATCCACCAGAAGGGTGCAGATTTGGGTCGATTGCAGGATTTGAAACTCGGGAATTACTGGGCTCGATCGTAGCGCCACCAGTGACTATTACAAGTTATGTCTCTCTAAGCCTCTCCTATGGACCAATCAGATTCCACTTCTGGTGTCACTTGTGTTTGCTTCACATAAAATGGTGGCGCCCAGTCAGGACGATCTGATCGATAATCAAGATCTATATTGTGATAAAACGGGTCTTACATCGCGAAATGCATCAAATCATGTGAGTACCTTGATTAAAAACATGAAAATATTTGGAAAATATCTGCTGACAACGAGTTTCAAATCCTGCAATCGACCCAAATCTGCACGACAGTTTACGAACCGGATTTCGATTTCGGTGCGCGATTTTGATTGGACTACGCATAGACTCGTTAGCCCAGCCAAAATGTAACTCCATAATACCAGCCTAGGGCAAGGACTGGTCGGCTCAGGGTCAGTATACTGTGTCTGAGTAGGGTATGTCAAACTGGCTTATGGTATCTCGGTGGGCTGGCTCTATAAAACCAGCATTTGTGGAGGAGTACATGGTTCAATGAACTTGGTTTTTAGTATAAAACAATGCAATATTGTAAGACATTAATCTCAAAATGTACAACCGTTGATAATCCGAAGGGCGGTCGGATAGCCTAGTGGTTAAAGCGTTCGCTCGTCACGCCGAAGACCCGGGTTCGATTCCGACATAGGTACAGTGTGTGAAGCCCATTGCTGGTGTCCCCCGCCGTGATATTGCTGAAATACTGCTAAAAGCGGCGTAAAACCATATTCACTCACTCATAATCCGAAACTAATATCAAGTTGATGATAAGAAACTGAAAGGTTTTTAGGGCGGATGACACACATTGTATGGCCAGTGCATTCAACCCGGATCTTCAGAGGGCCTCTGCGTCATCGATCACATGAGTGGGGATAGGTCAGCCTTACCTCTGTCACATTGCCTAATCATCTGATAATTTCAAACCCCCGATCTTGGCTTTGCGGTACGAAACCCCACAAAATCAAAAGTCATACCAGATGCAATTATAAATGACACACAGAATTCCTGTAGGAAGAACATGCGCCATTAGGCCTGTACATGGGCGACATCTGTATTTTGTAGTGTCATACTCATGCTTGAGGGCGTTAATGGAGCCCTTTTACTATCCCACGAGTTCTGTCATGATACTTAATTTGTGTGTGATCTGAAGGGCGACTGCTTGTAGGAGGCAACTAACGGGATCGGGTGGCCAGGCTCGCTGACTTGGTTGATGCATGTCATTGTATTCCAATTGCGTAGATCGATGCTCATGATGTCAATCACTGCATTGTCTGGGTCTGACTCGATTATTTTCAGACCGCCAGAAAAAATGTTAATTACACCAGTGCAGGCGTCACGTGTTCAGTGGTAAATGACACGTTCAGCATGACGTATCTATACTACCCGAAATAGGTTGGAGAACATCCATATGAGAAAATCGGGTGTTCTTTAACTTGTTTTGAGTAGTAACACATTACCAAAGGTCATACGAAAGACTCGGGTGTTCTTTAACTTCGTTTGAGTAGTATACAAACCTTCGAGATCACCTTCCAAAAATATACCGACTGTACACGTCAGGAAGGACATTCATTTAGGATGGAAACCCCAGATGCAATAACACCTTTCAAAACGTCAAAGACCATTTATTATGTTATATTGAATGACATCGAACATCACTCATGCTTGGTCGTAAGGGGGATACAGTGTATTCTCTCATGAAATTGCCGCGTGGTGATTTCTAAACTGAAACACAGAAAGTTACCCCAGACATCGCTACGCACAGAACTGAATTGCGATATCAGTAAAAGGCAACACAAGATCAATCAATAGTCAATAAATTATATTTAAACACACTGTTTTATGATTACAATCAAAAAGGCATTGCAATGAGTCAAATACGTGGCGGCATCAAAAAGTAAAAGACCCTTGAATTAATGACTAATAATGTCAGTGTATTCGATTAGTGTCAATGTTGAAGTTCTTAGAAAGAGGCCTGTGTTGGAAGCTGCAAGAAATCGGTGTTTCCAAATAAAGATATCGAAACTACATTTCGCAATAAGTAGGAACAAGTCAGGTCCGAAAAGGAACGCTCTTTCTTTGTCCCATCCGGAAACTTCTAAAACGGTGAAGGCTTCCATTGTCATACACATACCCAACAAGGGCAGATAACTCTAATTCTAGTGAAAAACCATTTTGGAAAATCAAACATAAATTTTGATAAAATCAACTAAAATGTTTTTTTAGTTTCAGTTTATATTTCTGTGGATATATTTCTGAATATTAGTACAAATTTAAGAGTGAATATAGATATGGTGGTAATTTTGTCGAAACAATACTTTTTCGATTTTTCACAAATGGGTCCATTATTAATATCATTATTATTATATTATTGTTATTGCTGTTGTTGTTATTATTATTATTATTATAATAATTATTATTATATAACGCTTGTTGAGAGCCGAATACAAAGGTGAATAAGGTTGTACATGTTTGTTTGTTTGTTGTTTAACGCCGCACTCAACAATATTCCGGCTATATGACGGCAGTCTGTAAATAATCGAGACCAGACAATCCAGACAGCGTGTTATTGATCATTAACGCAAAAAAATGTACAAACAATACGAAATCAGTGGCATCGTTTGATAGGCATTACTTATAGCTTGACGGATGACAAAGAAGATACACTTTATCGCCACCAGTGGCTATTACCAGTTATGTCCCTTCTAAGCCTGTCCTATGGACCAATCAGATTCCAACTTTAAAGCAAGCATGGGTTGCTGAAGACCTATTCTACCCCGGATCTTCACGGGTCGTGTTTAGAAGTATACAGTTAGTTGTCATTGGGTACACCAAGTTGGAAAATTCGTCAGTGTTTCAAGCCAACACCGTGCATAATAATTACTATTTATTTGCATATCATGGTTGATTTGCACGTCACTGCTATGCTGTACAACTTTTAATTACCCACAGGGCTAGAAATAGCCGAGTTATTAACTATCATATTTGCACTATTTCAAATATCACTTCACGCGCAACAGTGTATTGTTTAAGTCATCAGGAGGCATTGTTAACGTAATTCGAATCGTATTGTGACGTAAGGTCGGAATGACGTCACACTAGTAACGACGTCATAGCAGAAGATTGTTGACGTCATTCGAAAATTTGTGGTTTTCTAAGACGGCGGTCGTGATCAGTGCACTTTTATAAAAGGGGGCTCAAAGGATTAAGAAATTATGGGTAGTAAAGATATCAATACACTCTCGCCTGTGTCACTCTGATTTTACGAAACTCAAGTAAGAATCCATGTATTATCCTCGCTCTCGCTCCCTAGACCCGTGAAGATTCCGGGGTAAAATAAGTCTTCAGGAACCCATGCTTGCCGTAAAAGGCGACTATGCTTGTCGTAAAAGGCGACTAACGGGATCGGGTGGTGAGGCTCGCTGCCTTGGTTGATGCATGTCATAGATCCCAATTGCGTGGATCGATGCTCATGATATCAATCACTGGATTGTCTGGTCAATACTTGATTATTTACAGACCGTCGTCATATAGCTGGAATATTGCTGAGTGCGACGTTTAACAACAAACCAACCAACCAAACAACCGGATATACAAGAATTCTGACACTTGTTCCGTAAATTCGGTATGACACACGTGCTCGTATATCAATCTCTATATATGTCATTATAAATGTAAATCCCATATGCATGGTAATCTTAATTTGCTCGTTAAATTGTGACAGGACTGCAAAGAACAGATACAGTATACTTAAATACAAGATGATCCTACACAGTATATGTACGGTATGTATAAGGATGTGTATATCGCGTGAATGTTAAAGAGCCTGATAGTTATCAATATACTGCAGCAGAAAACATTCCTTTTTATTTTTTGTGGCGCATATACATGTTGTGTGTTTTGTTATTTTGTATTAATTTCACATTTAATTTTTTTTTTTCTGATGACATAAAGCGACCCTAGTGGCCATGTCTTCTTAGGGCTTTATGGAACTCTTGTTGATACTTTATATTCACTAATATATGAACAAACAAAATTCTAATTCTTGTTTGATATCTTACTCTGACCTATCTATTTGACAATAAAGAATATTTATCACCAAAAGAACAAAAAGGGCAATCATAATGCCACATTGTTTTAATGAAATGTATATTAGCATCATCTGTATTTTCGAAACAACCATGTGATATTTTCTGTTCGTTACGTATTAAAATAATGACACTATACATTTTGTTGTTGTAATGTTAGTCATTTTAATGACAAACAACTTACTGAGTTTCTATCAACGCATAATTTCGAAGTCAAGTTAACGCCTACATTTAGCGCGATATGTGATGTGGAGATTATTTTAGTTATCTGCCGATGGTAAGCTTCGAACGGAGACCTAACTACGACTGGCGTTCTCGATTACACGACGATATAAAAATATATAACTACACGGTAGCGCTTGCTGAAGACCGTACCAAGTCAGTGCTTTCTCGCGACGGCTGACCGAGTTCTATTTTTAGTAACAATATTTACGGAGTCTGAGATCACCTGTCGTCTAGATGGATTCGCTTATAACTCTGGTCAATACTCTAGACACGAAAACGCGCTGTCATATTTTTCTTCGATTATATTGTTTATATTGTATTTGTTTTCGGAGAGGAAACATTAAAGACAAAATGTGTTGTTCTTTCAGATGGACCGTTATAACTGAAAAAGTACCAGTTTTAAAAAAGAACTGCAAAAACGTCTTCTCAAATGAAGTCGAAAACATAAGCATAAGCATAAGAAAACAGTCACGTAAAAATTGTATTTGACGTTATGAAACAGCGAAATGTGGGGTCATTTTGGCCACGCACCGATGTGAAAATCGATTTCGCGATTTATCCCACGCATCTTTCTCCAAAATGTTCATACTTTTGTCTCTACCCAATACTGAGGATGCCAATCCCCTTCTTGTACGCTGGATTCGGGGGTCTATTTAGGGTATTCGGGACTTAGCAGTGTGGTACGCTGAACGCAAACAAATTCATATTTGGTGTGCATATTTAACATTTTTTTAAAAAGATAATGACATACGTAAACGTTCCATTATATATTTTATTTTTTCATATAGTGTCAGCTTTTTAACTTCAAATCGCACCTTTTTGTGACATAGGAAGTGTTCAATACCGTTTCGCTCTATCTTTGCAGATTGGAATCAGACGTGCTTGTGAGATTTGTGTTTAGCGGTATTCGGGATTCAGATGTAAGCAAATGACACTAAGAATGAAAAATTAGATGGTATTCGGGATTCAGGGGAGAAGTGGTTGGCTCCCCTCAATACTGCATCCGACAACCTTTATCCCCGAGGCAATTTTGTTATCTCTAGAAAAACAACACTGGTCTCTTGGCGAATATTCAGTCAAATCATCGGAGGTGACAAAAGTCTATTCGGGAATGTTCCTGAATGATTCACTGAAGATCCAAGCGAACCGTGCCGTGTGGCAATCTACGTCATTAGCGGAAGTATCTGCTCGTGACCCCATACGCATGCTCAGTGAAGTTACAGTATCCATGCAGTGTTGGGCAACTTAAAATTGGCCCCTAAAACTACCAAAGAGAAGGTTTTTAGTCAAATATCTATACTAAATAAACACTATAACACATTATGGCTCTTAAAAGGATAAGCAAGGTAAGAGTTTTCACGATCATAAACGTTTAAACGACATATTTTGCCGGTATGAACAGCCGTGTTGATAAACGGTTTCGCCTATTCTTTTCGACGGTGGTCGTGTTTCATTTTGCTTTGGTGTTCAGATATCAAATAGTTCGTGTACCGGTGTTATTTGTGTGTTCGTTGATATACTGTTTTCGTAATTATTGTACATTATGTTGTTGATGTCCATAGAAATGACAGCAGACCCCCAAATACATTTTCCCCTTATCAAGACCAGAATCTCCCTTTGAACAAGGAAGCTGTGGTGATAAGTTGGTGATTTGATTTTATGTGACCAATTCACATGATGTCAAATTAAGGTGTGTATCGTTCGGTGTGTTCTTGTTGTAACAACCCGCTTCATCAGGTAAACAGTAGCGGTCCACAGTAGCTATTAGACAACCCAGGTATAGTCATGGATTAGTAACTTTGCTAGTTAGACGAAGCAGGCATGCGGGACAACCCATTTTACTGTGAACAGGGATACACGAAATTAAAACAAAAAAAACCCAGATGTTCTTGCATCATATATTTATCTATCTCATCACTTAAAAAGATCCACAAGCGTAATGTTGTCAACAATTATTCGACACAGACACTTCACTGTTCACAACAAGCATAAGAATCAACCATTATTAGGCATAGACACTTCACCGTTCACGACAAACGTAAGATTCAACAGTTATTCCACACAGACACTTCTTGTTTACAAGACATTTCTCTGGCTTCACATGAGATAATCCTTATAACCATTTGTCGTAGATATTTATGATAATTATGTTCATAACACATCATGACTTGACAGTCATTAATATCTGTCTAATGTACAATGCATAGGGTTTAGAAATGTTCACATTTTGTCAGCTAGCTGTTACAACAACTAGCTTGATGTCAAGGGCTATTTCAGTAGTTGTCTGTAATTTTAACCACACACCAAGTTTCACATAATTCACGAATCATGCATGTTTGACCCAATCTTCATCCCAAAGACCCTAATCATATATTTGATAGTCACATTCAGTGCAACATTCAGGTTCCTACAATAAAATCTAAGGGTCTACAACCAAACAAGATTGTATTAACATAATACCAATAATGTTTGTTGTTTTTTCAACACTTTTAAAATAAGGCAAGACTATTTGGGCCTATTGTCTTTGGCTGTGGCTCTTGTGTTCCTGATATCACACATCTGTTCAATTTTTGTTTGTTTGTCGTGTTATCAGCCGGTTGCTCCCAACTCTATCACCATCCTTATCCCTTGGAGCCCTTTTCTGTTCAAGTACCCCTTTGCTATCCTTAGGATTAGCCTGTTAGTTATCCTTTTCCAACATTGAGTGTTGGTTGTGAGTTGGGATTAGGGTTAGGTATCTCAACTCTCATAACAATTAATACAGTGTAATTCGAATATAATCCAATACATTTTGATCAAGTTGAGTTCAGGAACTTCTTTAATTGGCTTTCAGAAGTTGGTATGATGAACAAGGGAGATAGTTCTATGGATGCACAACTTCCTTATTTCAATGAATGCAGTGTTACGGTGTAGATGCTAACACTGTTAGTTCAGTTGGGATGCACACAAATGTAATTTATATTTAAGCATTTGGGTCGTGATCACTGGGTAAATAAGCACAATTATTTGTCATAGTGTCTATGTTCCCATAGTGAAGTGTTGGCTGATTAATTAACTAGTCTAGCCAAACTTATGTGGCACTAATTGAATCAGAACAGTGCAAGCAGGCCAGTAAGTGCTGTACTCACCCCACTCCACCCAAAACATCCAGTGTATCACGAGGACTCCGTTTTCTTAGGCTGAGCCTAAACACTGTAAATAATTTGTTGGTCTGTGTTTTGTTCTGCATTTTGGGGCCAATTGTCATCACAAATAGTTCCATTTAAAACCTACTTTCACACGGGTTATAGCTAAAATGGCACCTCGGCGAAAACAGCACCAATAGGCGAAAACGGGACCTCTCCTCAAGCGAAAACGGCTACTATTGCCTGGCGAAAACGGCACCCTATTTGTTTTTACCTTGATACTAAAATAAATGAAATTAAACTCGCTTGCAAACTCCAATAATTGTGAAATATTAAAACAGTTTTACATTAGAAATAAGCCTCTACACCAACTATATTCCAACTCAGCTTATATCCATCTCAACTTATTGTGAAAACATAACATTCTTTGAAGGAAGATAGATCAAAATGAAATTAAACTCACCTCGTCGCTTACAAACACAATTTATTGTGAAATGTTAAAACAAGTTTACATTAGAAATTAGCCTCTACTCCAATTTACTCACCGACTCTTATTAGGAGGCGCAACTAACTTATTGTGAAAGCATTTTATGCTTTGAAGTTTTAAGTACCTTTACTCAGTGTCAAGCTGAAACTGTATTCAAGAGGCCTAACATGGTGCTGTCAGATCAAAATGATTCCCAATGGCCTTTCGATGTGTTGCATGTGAGAAAAATGTAGGCAAAAATCTGTGGACCCATCGTATATGTGTAACATGTAATTATATCATATATACTACTACATAAATCGTTCTTATCGTGATTAAAAATAGAGGTGCTGTTTTCGCTGACACATAGTACCCGTTTTTGCGAAATGCGATGCCATTTTCGCCCGAGAAATCGGTGACGTTTTGCTGAGGTGCCGCTTTAGCCTTCACTCCTTCACACAATCTCATTAAAATCAGATCTTAGTTGTAGCTACTGCAGAACATGAACTTTGTTTGACCTATGAAGTAACAAACAAGAAGTCGACATTGGCCAGTCAGAAAGAAGTTTTTTGAGCTTTACCATCTTCCCGAGGCAAGGGCGTTAACTGACTATAAAAGTCCAGTTTCCACCCTTGTCAAACTAGGCAGGAATTAAGGAGATCCTCTTTGGCCGGACTAATGAGTCCGTGCATAGTCCAATCCAAATCGAGTAAAGAAACCCACATCTGGTTCGTAAACTGCTGTGCAGATTTCGGTCGATTGCAGGATTTTCAAAGCATGTGTACCGATAGAGACACAGAAGGGATATGATTCATAATAGCCACTGATGGTGGTACCATCGAGCCCTTACTTCGGTAAGGGTGGAGAGTCAGATAACTCCCTTGCCTGAGGAAGATGGAGCTTTACAGCACTAGTTTCAAACTGTCGACTTCCATGCCAGACTACACTAGAAAGTATCGATTAATATCTTGAAAACTGAACAGACGAAAATTCTTGAATGTCTAATAGATAGCAGAGATTTTATGGCAGTACCACCTACAGGATATGGAAAGTCTCTTTTGTTTCAATGTTTCTCCCACTGATATGAGAGACCGACAGTGATTTTGACAGCATCAGTCGTACAGCCAATAACTGTCGCTCGGAATACCCTGTGTTAACTATTTCGAGGTTGCATGATTAGAAAATACTCTCAGAATGTTACTTTCCCGATCTGGTAAGTGATGCTGTGATTGGTAGGATGAAAGGTAGTTCTGACTTGACCCATAATGGAATGTCCTCAGATCTTTGTTTACCAGTAGTGAGAACTAAGATCTGATTTTGATCAGTCTTTATACCACTTAGAAACACACGGCTAAATTCCTGTCTTCATACTTGACCAGTGTTTAATCATTTTAAACCCAAGTTACTTTGTGATACATGTATCTACCTAGCATATTCAAATTTGACATGTTTGAGGAAGAAGTGTTTCATTCTCTTTGCGTCCTCACATGCTTATGCACTGCACAAGCAGGAAGGAAACGTGAGTGCAGTAAGTAAATTTTGTTTGGCATGATGAGAAACTTGGTACTTGTAAATATGTTGAAACGTACAAAACAATGGGGCCCAGACCAAGTACACAATCTCATTTAAGCTGGATTTGATACCATCCCTCTCTGCTTGAAGGTCGGAGGACATGTCAGGTTGACGTTACGGTGGGCCCAGCGGGCCCAGTTGTGTGAGGAACCTCAGTTCGCTTTGTGTAGTTGTCTCCCTTGAGCATGCAAGAAACCTATGATGGTGGGTTCAAATCCCAGTTCTCCCCCATTATGTTTCTAGGTTTGTCAGCACCATACCCGTACCCGTGGGTTTCACCGAAGTGGTAAAGGTCTTGGACCTGCATCACTTCAGACTTTTCCCCAAGGTTATGCTGAGACCGTAATATAACTGGAATACCGTTAAAAACAGGGTTAAACCAAACTCACTAACTCAGTCAATGGACATTCCATTCTGATTGGAATAATGTAAAACTAACAACTGAAGCCTCTTTCTTTTTATTGGTCTTGTCAGTGTAATACAAGTCAACTTTACCATGTCTACAAAGCCATTTCATTTGTTAGCATGTGTTCAGATTAGGCAAAGGGGTGTGGTTGCCTAGTGGTTAAAGCCTTTGCTCGTCATGCTGAAAACTGGGGTTCTATTCCCCTCATGGGTATCGACAATGTGTGAAGCCTTTTTCTGTTGTCCCCAGCTGTGATATTGTTGGGATACTGCTTAGACAAGATGTGTTTAATAATCTCCACTACACTTTCAGCATATTAACACGGTCTCATCCTTTAGTGTCTTTTCTATTACATCTCCTTCTACCAGGTGTTATATGATATGATAACAAGAAACCTGGACCCATGTCACACCCAAAGTTTTGTTTTGAGGGATGTTGTTCTTGTCTGTTATCACTAACTTTGCAAAGAATATTTTCACCTGTGTTCACATACATCCTACTCCTAAGATGGCTGCCTCATCTATGTGGCCGTTGATACATTTATTCAAAACAAAAGACTGGATATTAATAAACTTTTAGCAGGAAAAAAATATTTTCCTGAGTACCAGGATGGAGGAAGTATTATGTGGATCAACAAGATATTCTGGTTGATTTTATATTGCACACAAAAGTTGTGTTGGTTTGTTTAGTACTGGAAATATCGCTGCTGTTTCAACCATGAAAGAACAGTTAATTTGATTGTCATTTGTACCAGCCTTAAAACAAAGGCATGGTTGTTAATGGGTCCAGGTCATGTAGTTTGGAGATAGTGGTTAAAGTGTTCGCTCATGCTGAAGACCCGGGTTCGATTCCCCAGATGGGTACAATGTGTGAAGCCCATTTCTTGTGTCCCCTGCAGTGATATTACTTGCAAAAAGCAGCGTAAAACCATACTCACTAACTCATTCACTCACTCATTCTGCTTTATTAAGGATGGTTTGAAAGTAACTTCCTGAACTGTGTTCCCACAGAATAGAAAAAAACATCTCACCCAAACGCACCCCTTGAGCCACACATGCGCACAGGAACCACTTGACCAGGCCGGTAGCTCATCCATCTCTCATTTTCATGTCAACTGAGTAGTCCTATAATCCAAGCCATCCTATCAAAATTAACTTTTTTCATAAAATAACTTGTTTGAATTCCTTTCTTCTAACCATTATTCATCATATGTAACAATTATTTATTAATTTTGGCATAATTTTTTAATGTTTTTGGACTAATGAAGTTACCTCTGTTTTCAATATGAAATCAAGTAATATATGCAATATGAGTGTTTTAGATCAAAACTCTCACCCCATCTTCTCAAGCTGCATTTCTCAACACTGTATTGCAGAGAAGAGATGTAGTTACTGCACCCCTTTTGGAAGATGTATTGTATGAGGAGGGAATCATCACAAATTGCATCATCCTCACCAGAGACGACTTCAAACGATCATGGAAGATTGTTTTTGGAGATCAGACTCGTCTTCGCAAATCATTATTTCAGAGATTTCTCTGCACAAGATGTTGCTGGAATTCACCAATTTGGACCATTAGTAGTTGTACAACAACTGACAGTGCCTACTAGAGGATAGACCTTCCTACAAGTACCCACTATCATGCAGGTTACTGTCCCATTACCAATGACTGAGTGTCCATGTTCCTAACACTATAATTGTTTGAATTAAGCAGGAAAAATTATTTTCCTTAACAAACTTTACAAAATCCACAAAATCGATAAGGAGGTGGTATGCTGCATGGATATAAAGAAGTTATCACATTCCCAAGGGGTTAATAGAACAGATCTCAATCTGAATCCTGCACACATGTGGAACCCACCACAAACTGGGGGATTCAAGCAATACGTATGAGTCAGGATAAGGTAAAATATGTATTTTTTTGAGTAAAAATATCATTTATACTAATCCTGACTCAAAGGCTAAAGCACCCACCCAGCCGTCCCCTCTTCCCCTGTGTTTCAGACATAAGGTAAGAGAATGAGAGAGTGACATGTCACATGGTTCCGGTGCGCATATGCGGCTCAAGAGATGCATTTGGATGAGCTGTGTTTTTTCTGTTCTGTGGGAACACACTTCAGGAATTTTTCATTACCTTTCGGAAGAGCGAGAGAAACAGAAGCAGTTAGTTGAGTCAGCATTAGTATAAATGATATCTTTTGCTCTAAGGGGTTACAGGTGGCCCAGTCGTCTAAGGCGCCGCGATTCGCTGTGCAGAGTTGCGTCCCTTGGGCACGCCAGAACCTATGATTGTGAGTTCGAATCCAGGTTCACCCCGATTATGTTTCTAGGTTTGTCAGCACCATACCTGTGCTCGTGGGTTTCAACGAAGTGGTAAATGTCTGAGACCTGCATCTCTTCGGGCTTTCCTCCCACATTAAGCTGACACGCCGTGATATAACTGGAATACTGTTAAAACCGGCGTTAAACCCAACTCACTCACTCACTCACTCACTCACTCACTCACTCATTTTTGCTCTAAATGATACATTTTTGAACGATATCATGATTTCTTTTCCCAATTTGCCTGCCAAGCGCACTTAGTTTGGAATCCTAGTTACATCCCTGCAATAGCTCACTTGACCCAAGGTCTATGTGAAAGCTGTCCTTTTCCAGACCCTTGAAGACCCGGATTAGAATGGGTCTTCAGCAAAAAAATTGTCGTAAGTGGCGACTGACAGGATTGGGTGGTCAGGCTCACTGACTTGGTTGATGCATATCATTGTATCTCAATTCGTGGTTTGATGCTGATGATATCAATCACTGGATTGTCTGGTCAAGACAGCCGCCATATAGCTGGAATAATGCTGAGTGCGGTGTTAAGCAATAGACAAACTGTCCATCTCTTGTCAATAAGCCAATTTGCAGTCATTATGCACTGCAAGCTGTTGTTCAGCCATAGAAACTAACATTTAGCCCACCAGTCCTTTTATTGATTTCATAGCAGAGCCCGAGACCGCCGCCATATAGCTGGAATATTGCTGAGTGTGGTGTTAAACAATAGACAAACTGTCCATCTCTTGTCAATAAGCCAATTTGCAGTCATTATGCAGTGCAAGCTGTTGTTCAGCCATAGAAACGAACATTTAGTCCACTAGTCCTTTTATTGATTACATATTAGAGCCCGAGACTGCCGCCATATAGCTGGAATATTGCTGAGTGTGGTGTTAAACAATAGACAAACTGTCCATCTCTTGTCAATAAGCCAATTTGCAGTCATTATGCAGTGCAAGCTGTTGTTCAGCCATAGAAACTAACATTTAGTCCACTAGTCCTTTTATTGATTACATAGCAGAGCCCGAGACCGCCGCCATATAGCTGGAATATTGCTGAGTGTGGTGTTAAACAATAGACAAACTGTCCATCTCTTGTCAATAAGCAAGTTTGCAGTCATTATGCAGTGCAAGCTGTTGTTCAGCCATAGAAACTAACATTTAGTCCACTAGTCCTTTTATTGATAACATAGCAAAGCCCGAGACCGGCGCCATATAGCTGGAATATTGCTGAGTGTGGTGTTAAACAATAGACAAACTGTCCATCTCTTGTCAATAAGCCAATTTGCAGTCATTTTGCAGTGCAAGCTGTTGTTCAGCCATAGAAACTAACATTTAGTCCACTAGTCCTTTTATTGATAACATAGCAAAGCCCGAGACCGGCGCCATATAGCTGGAATATTGCTGAGTGTGGTGTTAAACAATAGACAAACTGTCCATCTCTTGTCAATAAGCCAATTTGCAGTCATTTTGCAGTGCAAGCTGTTGTTCAGCCATAGAAACTAACATTTAGCCCACCAGTTTTATTGATATCATAAAGTCCTTGAAAATGACAATTTCTGCTTGTCCTTATGATACCTTAACTATTGGGCATTTGGACAAGGACTATAGGACTAGTGCCAGTTTCTATCGCTGTAGTTATGGTACAAATATTGTGATGTGGGAAATGCTTGCAGAGATGGAAATTAACCAAGAACATCTGCTAGCCCGAATAGTGATAACATATAGTGGCTATTACCCCCCACCCCCCACCCCCCACCCCCCAGAGCTCCAGATAAACTGCGTATCTGCGTAAAATACGCATCAGAAATGCAGAAATACGCAGTAAAATAAAATCCAAGCGTATCAAATACGCAACAAACATTACAGATACGCTACAAAAATAAAACTTGTGCATATCATCAAAATATTGTGAAGTAACCCTGCGTATTCGATTAGGAAATCAGCAACTTATTTTGAAATTATAAACGGGCATTCCGTCAACCTTGCCAAATCCACGATGACAGTTACATCATGATCATTTGCCATCACACTTTCTTGTGGAAGTATCGTGATATTTTTTAGTCCTATAAAGCTCTTGAACCCACACGACACCAGTTTGCAGGGACTAGATGAATAGTGTTTTTAAATATTTAACTTAAATACCCACATGTGTAAAAACTAGTGGGTAACAGAAATTTGAATACCCAGATAGAATTACTGATACCCAATGATTTTAAAATGCATGGGTAAAATACCCACAACACCAAAAGCTTATCTGGAGCTCTGCCCCCCCCCCCCCCCCCCCCCAAAAAAAAATAAATAAATACATTAAAATGTTTGAAATTCCACTAGCCCTTTGGATACCTTTCATGTTAACAAAACTGGTCCTCACTATCGGACTAGTGTCAATTTCATTCCCAGACTTGACGTGTTGTACTTGCAGTCTATGTTTTAAAAGACCTACCTCACTCTTATACATTGTTTCAGGAACTGTCTGACCTTGGCAAAGACCCTCCCGCTCAATGCTCAGCTGGACCAGTAGGAGAAGATTGTGAGTAGGACCACAGTGGTGTCAACTAGTCATTGGTACTGCTCACCTGGTAGTGGTACCCTCAGCAGAAAGGGGAAATGCACAAAACAGAACAGTCTCATTTGTTAGAATTCACTGCAGTAAATGTTTTGTGGAGCATGTTATAGGCTACTAAAGTAAGAGAAACTTGTTAAATAACCAGAGCCCACCTGAGTAAAGGCTGTCCAACCTCTGAGGCTATGCATCTATTATCTGTTAATTTATCTTGCTTAGATGAAAACAGTTTCCTGAGATACCAAAGGTTGGTCAATAATCCTAACCCTGTTGGGATTCTGGGTCAGAATAGTTCCCCAACACAGGGCTCTAGAATGTTCTGGAGCCATTGCATATTGACTCACAAGTTATCATTCACATTTGGTATCGATAGTCAGGGCTTGATTTAACTGTATAAAACATGCAGAAGTATTGAAAAGTGCAACCTAATGTTTATGTATACATGCACCAAGTCCAGTGCATGTCAACAAATTTCAAATTGTCTGACAAACCTTTACTTGTCTGCACAAATTGATCTTTGAAGACACTCAATACATCTGTAGTTTATCTACTATACTACATCACTTATCCCTGTGTTACATGTAATTTGTCATGCTTTCATTGGCTTGATGTCATGTGGGTACTTAAAGATTTTTTGCACATGCTCCTATTACGTTTTGGAGCAATGCAACACTAATGTATCATTGTATGTGATGCAAACAGCGGACCAGCCTGTTTCAACTTTGATAAATTTATGCGACCAGGGTGGTTAATGGTAATTGAATTTATTTTACGTAAATATGCAGCTATGGAGCTCTGCAAATGTATACCTTTTGGAATATTGATTATGTTGAACCAGATATGGTCATCAACACTTGATTTTTCTGTTTCAATTTCTTCATCTTGATAATAAATACGTCCGTTTGAGACATTCTAAATTACCACATTAATTGGTAACATTATATAATGGTCTCTGTCTGTAAACAACGTGACCTTGGTGCACAGTACATAAATCACTCAAGTTTGTTGTATTGTTTTACAGTATTCCACTGGCAAGCAACAATAATGGGTCCGGTGAGTGAGATTTGTTTGCCTGGTCAGCTTCCTTATCACTAACTGTTGTTTGTATGGGTTGAACATTATTGTCGAGCTGTACATATATGAATAGACTATAACACTTTGGTTGATATCTACTGATACATGATGTGCATTATCAGTAGTACCTACATTTTCTGTAACTTCAATAATTCCTGTATTGTTCAGACAATATATTTATTTCTATTACAGAGATTTATCTAGGATTCCAAACTAGGTGCCCATGGCATGAAAACTAAAAATTATTTGTGATGTTAAAAAAACCAGTTTTTAAATGTTCTCAATTTCATTAATTCTGAGGAATTTGGTAATTTTAAATTCAAACTGGGAACTTTTCTTTTACTGCATGCTTACTTCTGAATGTCTGTTCTGATGAGTTTTGGATAAATCCCTGATGTATTAAGGCACCTATCATACATCAGCTTCACAATTCAACCCCACTGATTGACTACATTGTTGTGTTTTCCTTCTCCTTCAGCCTGACAGTCCTTATCAAGGGGGGGTATTTTTCCTAACCATACACTTTCCAACAGATTACCCTTTCAAACCTCCAAAGGTGAGTGCACATTGTTTTGTTAAAGGAAAATCACTGTCCCAGCTTATCACTGAACAGTGTATGTATTATTATGTGTGATTGTAGAAAGATGTTCCAATCACATTTTGTGCTGTTTGTTTTTTAACACAATTTCATTTGACTCTGACACTGAGTGCAACAAGGGGCGGTCGGGTAGCCTAGTGGTTAAAGTGTTTGCACATCAGGCCGAAGACCTGAGTTCGATTCCCGACATGGTCACAATGTGTGAAGCCCATTTCTAGTGTCCCCCGTCGTGATATTGCTGGAATATTACTAAAAGCGGCGTAAAACCAAACTCACTCACTCACTGAGTGCAACAATGGCTTTCAGTATTAAGTCATCATACAAGTAGCTCCAGGATGCGTTTCTGCAGGATAGCAGCATTTTGACAGGGATTACTCATATTTATACAGTGTGCACACCAGTTTTTACATTTCTACCTCCATAAACACCAAAACAATATTGAACTCCATTCTTAAGTATTTAGCACTTATTAACTACCTAAACTTAATTCACGAAAGGGTATAAAGGATATTTAATTAGATTAGGTAAATTTGGTACAAAATGGTCCTTTTTCAGAGCTTGTTACAAATTAGGGTGATCATAAAAATGAAGACATTGCATTTTGTTAACTTACAAATAGAAATAATATTGTAAATGTAAGTATAAGTAATAAAATTTCTTGTTATTAAAATGAATTTTGTTTTGAAAAAAATACCTTCCCACTAACCTGATCCCCTGCTTCTCCTGGAAGTAATGAGGGTGACTGTCTCAAAGCTTTGATTATGTTAGTTAGTGTGTTAGCATGCAACAGAGGGTAACTTGAAGCTAAAGGATGGACACTACAAAGGAAAGAACATGTTTTAGTGAAGATAAATGCTGACAGTTGTGACAGCGCCAAAAAAACAAACCAAACAACAACAAAAAACAACAAAAGTTGTGACAGCACATTAGGGAATGCACATGAAGGTGACATTACAAGTGTATTCCCTCCAGAGAACCTAGGTTCTCTGTTCTCCATCGGGCCATAGACAAGGCGTCAAGTATGATTAAGACTTGCACACATTCTGGACTGGATCCTCCTAGCTTTCAACTCGCATGAAATTTGGGCAGTGGTGTCCACGATGGCACTCCACATCAACAGCTCCATCATGGACATCGCGTGAGGGTGTTTTTGACATTGCGACACTACCTTCGCAAACTTCTACCTCTGGGGTCTGTCAGTTGAAGTCATTGTCTTTGCCCATCAACCCATTGCACCTCCATATCACCAATGACAGGTGGGAACAGCAACTGTTGTCAAGGACGCCCATATTCCTACATGTTTTGTCTTTCTTTATACGTAATGATTGCCTTAACTCCGAAACGAAGGTGAGGACAACTGCAGTCTCCAATCTTTCAAGTATCTCCAGTTGCAATGTAATTTCGGACCCAGTCTTACTTGTAACCAGGCATGGTGGTGATGTATTGCGAGACAAGTGAAGTTGAACACACCTATGGGTTGGAGACAATGTGGCAGTCTAGTCTAGTCTGTGCTCTGGCCCAACCACCATATCGTAAGAGGGAGTATGCAGTGGATCCAACCCGCCGTCCAGCTGTGGGATAACTGCATACTGTTGTGGAGGGCTATGTAAAAAGTATAGGGAATCAGAGTATTGCCCTTACATACATACTTCTTCTGACACAACAGGTCATGACTACCTACCCTCGAAGGTATGGATCAATTGTCACCTGGCCACGGCAAACAGGAAAAGATGACAAGTAGTTCAGAAGCGAGGTGTTCAACATTGTTCTGCACTGTTATGAGAGAAGGAATAGTGCATATTGTTTTCACTGGATGATTAACTAAATCAGGGGAATACTCTGATTCCCAATGTTTGTCCTTTCTTTTTCAGGTGGCGTTCACAACGAAAATCTATCATCCAAACATCAACAGCAATGGCAGTATCTGTTTGGATATACTCAGGTCACAGTGGTCGCCAGCTCTCACTATCTCAAAAGGTAATAATCTACTACATTGTTGTAGTTGATCTGTAAGGGCTTTCCCTGTTTGTTCAGAAAATACAGCGGGCACAGTGGTCCAAGGTGTCGATATGTGCAGTGCAGAGTTGCATTGTTTGTCAGGATCTGCTGGTTGTGGGTTTGATCCCAGACTCTTCCTGATCATCATCCATGTCACTCGTGGTTTGTGGGTTTCACCAGAGTGATTTTGGAAGAAAATGAAAGTGTTGGACTATGACAGTTCTATGTGTCATAGATTTGATGTGTTGTAAAGCAGTGTTCATGAATGATAATGAACGCTGTAGCTCAGTGGTATGGATTTCTGCTAACAGCTTGCCTCATGGCTTGCCTGCTCCGATCCTGATAACGCTTTCAAGATCGCTGTGACCTTGCTGAGCACAAGGTTATAACATTCACGCTGTTTCCTTTCTATTTTAACATGGACAGTGTCATGAACATATTTTAAAAGCAAAAACATTGTTCCAGGGTGACAACCAAGCAGTCTGAATTCTTTGTACAGCTCAGTGATTGAACGTATTGAACCATTGATAAGGTTTTAATCTTATATTTTTGGCTGTTGACTGGTATGAGGCTCATGGCAAAAGGCTCTGATTGGTTCTGTTACAATGAGATAATCAAAACAATTTTGCGTTGCATAATAATTGAAGAATGCATCCTGTTTTTAAGCTGATGTAAAAGGTTTAAAACTTTGATTACATTTTTTTATTACCCATCTTTAAAATGTCACACATTATTTTTTGCTTTTTTTCTGTATTGTTTTCCTGAAATTTTAAGAAAAATAGAATTTAAAAAGGAAATAACTCCAACCCCTCTTGAAAGTGTTTTAAGATTATTTTGTGTGTGTATACTGATGTAGTCAAATAAAAAATTCCTTTATGTCAGAAGACACCGGGGGAAGTTTCATCATTAAACTGTAACAACAGTAGAAAGCAGTTTCCCCTTTGAAGATCTGGGTTAGAATTGGCCTTGAGCAACCCATGCTTGTTGAAAGAGGCACTTACCAGGATTAGGTGGTCAGGACTGTTGACTTGGTATTTGCATGTCATTCTATCCCAATTGCGTAGATTGATGCTTGTGATGTCAATCACTGGATCGTGTGGTCCACACTAGATTTACAGACCAACGTCATTTAGCTGGAATAGTGCTGTGTGTGGCGTTAAACAACAAACAAAATAGGCAGTTCACATTCAACTAAGCATTGCTTTGAGGCACACAAGGGGTTGGGGTGGGGTTTGGGGTATGATGGAGGTGGGGTAGGGGTATGATTTTATCATGTTTCGATGCATCACAAATACAGACAGGATGATGCAGTGCATGCCTACCCATGTATCTGTTCATATTTCAATTCTGTTCGAATTATAAAAAAAGTAATATTTACAAGTTTTGCTACATGGCCTCATAACTACTCAAGATCGCTTTTCCTAACCACAAATTATGAAGCATAATGTGTTCCAAAGTCAGTTAGAAACTCATAGAAAGAGACTAAGGTCACCAATCACATTAGTTGCACAAACTGGTTGATAGCATAATCATATCCGCAGGGTGATATGAACATTGAGAATTTCACTCAAAAAACAGTTCAAGTTATGTATTGATACATTCCATATTGTGACTTGAGAATTTCAATATGTATTGTGTGAGGTGAGTTAATTATATCATGAAAGAATGGGGATGATTGACCTCCAAGGATGACAAACAGCCTGAACTATTAAAAACGGTGTTGGAATTCTGAGTTTTAAGAATAGGGTGGCCCAGTCATCTAAGGTGCAGCGATTCGCTGTGCAGAGTTGCATCCTTTGGGCACGCCAGAAACCTATGATTGTGGGTTCGAATCCCGGTTTGCCCCTATTATGTTTCTAGGTTTGCCAGCACCATCCCCATGCTCGTGGGTTTCATCGAAGTGGTAAACCTCTGAGACCTGCATCTCTTTGGGCTTTCCTTCCACATTAAGCTGACTCGCCGTGATATAACTGGAATACTGTTAAGAGCGGCGTTAAACCCAACTCACTCACTGTGTTAGAATAGGTCCCTAGTAATCTGTGCGGGTTGAAAGAGGTGACTTACTGGATCGGGTTGTCAGATTTAGTGACTTGGTTGATTACATGTCATCGTACCACGACCGTCACTGGAAGTCTGGTCGGAGTCACAGTCATTTAGCTAGAATATTGCTAAGTGACACAATAACTGGCTAAATCTACTGTAGAAAGAAGTTATCCACAATAGTGTCAGAAAATGGAGCTTTTGGATGCGCACAGACACTTGGAATTGCCATCAAGGTCTGACAACCCCAGTATCATGTTGGACCAGGGCTGTTGCAAAACATGTTGGACCAGGGCTGTTGACAAAACATGTTGGACCAGGGCTGTTGCAAAACATGTTGGACCAGGTCTGTTGACAAAACATGTTGGACCAGGTCTGTTGACAAAACATGTTGGACCAGGTCTGTTGACACAAAACATGTTGGACCAGGGCTGTTGACAAAACATGTTGGACCAGGGCTGTTGGCAAAACATGTTGGACCAGGTCTGTTGACAAAACATGTTGGACCAGGTCTGTTGACAAAACATGTTGGACCAGGTCTGTTGACAAAACATGTTGGACCAGGGCTGTTGGCAAAACATGTTGGACCAGGTCTGTTGGCAAAACATGTTGGACCAGGTCTGTTGACAAAACATGTTGGACCAGGGCTGTTGACAAAACATGTTGGACCAGGTCTGTTGACACAAAACATGTTGGACCAGGTCTGTTGACAAAACATGTTGGACCAGGTCTGTTGACAAAACATGTTGGACCAGGGCTGTTGACAAAACATGTTGGACCAGGGCTGTTGGCAAAACATGTTGGACCAGGTCTGTTGACAAAACATGTTGGACCAGGTCTGTTGACAAAACATGTTGGACCAGGGCTGTTGACAAAACATGTTGGACCAGGTCTGTTGACACAAAACATGTTGGACCAGGTCTGTTGACAAAACATGTTGGACCAGGTCTGTTGACAAAACATGTTGGACATGTGCTTTGATATCAGTGGTTCTGTGGTCACTATTGATGAGTACTGTATTCGCCATATTAAGAGCCCTGCTCTAATAAGTGCCCCTGACCAGTTTTTAGACCAATATGAGAGTAACTTTTATAAATGCTCCCAAAAAAGACAGAAAATGTACTTGACAGTCCTTATTGTCTTGTGTAATTTTATGGATTTATTTTCTTAAAATGCAGCAGATATGATTGCCTCGTAACTATTATCAAAAACTTTTAGTTTCGTCTAAGTATGTTCACCACCAATGGATCTCTGGGGAAAACCGCACCTCACTGCACCGCTAATTTCTTACCGACCAGGGTGCTTTTTTAGCAACTACAGTATTGGATGCACCCTCGTGTTACTGGAATATTGCTGCTGTAAATCAGAAACATTATTGTCTTACTGTATATGACTAGATAAGCCGAGGTATTAACTTGGTCCTTGAAATCTGTATAAAAATATTGTCTTACACCGTCGGTAATAAAAAGTGTTTAATTGTATACCTGGACTCATGTTTGTAGTCTACGTAATCTATTTTATTAATTTCAATCAAACTTTCATTTGATAATATTTACATTATTTTCGGTGTCCATCAGGTACTTACAACTTCTGTTTGCCCCATTCCATAAGGTCTGCTTTACCAACTCACCGATATTTACAGCAAACACAATCATATTACCGCTATTGACACCTTGAAACGAACCTGTGTTGACAGAAAATGGATGCATATATCATAAATGCAATACTTTGACTCATTAAAAGTAGAATTTGTTGTAGTTTGACGATTAAATGATAACATTGTTTCTGGGATGGAAATAGCAAAATTGTGCAAAACCTTATCAGTGATTTGTCAAATTGTTCCATGCAAAAAAGGTGTCCGATAATGCACAAAAGTGGAACCGCATAGTCTAGCTTTGTTTACAAGACAATACACACAGTATTCTTTATCCCTGCATGTAAAACAATGCCCAGCATAGAAGAAATACAATCCAAATGGTAAATTGTCCTGTCTAGTGATGTTTAATAGCAAATTTCACATTTTCATTGTTCATTCACCTGAAGTGATACAATGTAGTTTTTTTACCAACAGAAAAAGAGTTAGATGAAAGTGTAACCCATACATAAGCCGACCCTTTCTACGAAATCTTTTTTCCAGTCCTCAAAATCTGGCTTATCTAGGGTCATATACAGTACAAGTTTTGGTTATGGTTAGGTTTACCAGCCCAAGGGTACTGTAGCCAGCAAGGGGGGGGGGGGAGGCAGTTGGATGTTTTATAGAAAATATTTTTCATTGTGAAAGTTAACTTGAATAAGAAATAAATTATCTTATTTGCCCCCCCCTGTCAAACAAAGTTAACTACGGCCTTGGTACTTTATTAAAAACTAGATTCTGATTTGGGGGCTTATTTCCATAGGTGCAGACTGTTCCCCTGACCCCTGCCTGTTGCTCATCTATGTACCACCATTGTTTTTCTATTGAAAATGACTTTCTTTATTCCAGTGCTTTTATCAATCACTTCACTTCTGACCGATCCGAACCCAGATGATCCACTAGTTCCTGAAATAGCTCGTTTGTACAAAACAGACAAGAAAAAATATAATAAACTTGCAACGGATTGGACCCAAAAATATGCAACCTAATTGTCACATGTCTGAGGAGAGAGCAGAACTATTTTCTTGACAGATTGTTTCTTATAAGTTGCCGTTTAACATATATACCAGTTGGTGGGGTTTAAACTTGTAGCTCATGGCCTGTACGCATGGTTTGTCTAAAGAAGGAGTGCTTTAATTCAAAGGGGAATATATGTTTCTTACCACTCAAACTTCACCCCCAGGCCAGGCTGAGTAAGTGACATTTTAGTCACACTAACTGAACCGGAACCTGGAAGCTTTTAAGATAGTTGCTGTACTCTTGATCATGTTTTTTTTGGTTATGTAAGATCAAATGGCCAAGTTGG